CCTAGAAGCAGCTCTCAGAGTGCGAGTGTTGTTTCCTCCGCCCACGTTAGCCTAAGCAGCCTTCTCTTCACACAGAACTACCCTGTTGCAGTTTTATTTATTAGAGGTTTGTTCAGCAATATGCTTGCTGAGTCCAGTCCAAAGCAAACTGATCTCTCCATCCTGATTCCAACTGGATCTTTTCCAAGATTTCCCCTTGAATACTTTTTCCTTCAAATAACCAATCCATCTTGATCCTTCCTTTCGCATTTAATGCTTGCCTTTGTTTCCCCCTTTCATTTGTTAGTGCCCTGTGCCTTGCAAAACTTAGTTGGGACTATCAACTCCTCTCCCTGCCCCCTCTGTCCCTTCGAGCTTCAATTTCGAAGCTGCTTGAATTTCATGTGTTTTATTTTCATTAGTAATGCGTGATGGGTGTAGCACTTCCAGTTTACTCTCCAACATCCCTTCTCATGGCATCAGTCCTTACAGTGCCCTACCTAGTTTCCCCAGAGTGAGCGAGTGTAGATTGTGCAGGCAGGCAGCCTGCTAGATGCAGCACTCTGACTTTTGCAGGATGCATTGCATTGCACGGCAATCTGCTGTCCGTAACTCATGCTGTGTATGCTGCAAGCTGCATGCACGCACATTGCTTTGCAACGTGAAGCTAGCTTGTGGTAAAGGTGGCGAGCCAAGTTCTGTAAGGGAGGAGACGGTCAGGACAGAGATATTGCCACTTCCCCTGAGAAACTGACCTTTCCCCTGAGAAGAAGCCTGTGTTCTGGGCAGCAGGCAAGAGCTAAACTCTGAGACAGCAAGGACTCCACAAGTGCAGACCCTTCTCCCAGTGCCGCACGGAGGGGTTGAGCTTCTGGGGCAGGGACTGGTTGGGCAGAGCCGAAAACAAGCCCCCCATCAGCAGCCTGGTTGATGCCGAAGGCTGCAATGTCACCAGGCATTAGTGACGGAAGACGCGTGCGACCCACACAGTGAGGCTGGTGGCTTGCAAGTAAGCAGGGCTTCGTAGCCACTCCAGAACTTCTCCAGAATTTTGAAGGACCTGTCTTTGGAGCAGTAGCAAGGGCAGCTCCTCTGAAGTTGAGTCAAAAGTCCTGATGCACAGACCGTCTGACGTGGCAGTCGCCAGCTTCCAGTGACCCAGTCGCTTAACGAACCAGACCCAGCTCCAACGGCATAAGCTCTGCTCTCTGCCCACAAACCAGTGTCCAAGATGAGAGGACATTTTTGTGGGTGGATGAAGTCATCGTTTCCCATCACAACCATTCCGGAACTGACCTAGCAGAGCCAGTGGTGTTCCCAAGAATAAATCTTCCACTCCTTGGCTTTCCCACACGAGGAAAACTTCTGAATGGGGGCCTCAAGGGGCCTCATGGAGAAGTTAACTTCCCAACCATTTAACCAGAAACTGGAGATCAGGTTTCATGTTGCTACGAAGATAAATCTGCCAAGATGAACTTTGTCTTGCTTATCCCTTGCTCAGCAGGCTCAAATGTCTGCAGCAGGCTTCGGCGAATGGGGCGGCATAAAAATGTTTTAATAATAATAATAATAATAATAATAATAATAATAATAATAATAATAATAAATATTTGCTGGCACAATTCTCAGAAAATATTTATCTTTCCTCAACATGTGTAGGTGTTCGAAAGCAAATCCTCACTCAGTGAAAGCAGTTTTGTGCATGTTTTCTGTAAGACATGTGTGTGTTTTTTCCATGCACTTTTCTGTAATGTATACACAAGGTATTTGTTTTCTTGTGAACTGTATTACAAAATTCTGAAAAGTTCAGGTGCAGGCACAGGAAATTCAAACACATTTCATGTTAATGCTGTGAGAATGGGAGAGCCCATCTTTATTGGTGTTCCTGTGCGGTGTGCAGGGGACTTTAGCCCTACACTGCCACTGTGATCTACAGCCACAAGTACTTTCTTGGCTGATGGAAAATCCCCATTGATGATCCTCACTCCATCCCCATTGGCTGATGGAAAATCCTTGCAGATGGAAAATCCCCATTAAAAAGAAGGAAGACCTTTTCCTACACAAATGGCAGCTGTGGAGGCCACAGTATGTGTCAAACCCATGAGGGAAGGTGGGGGGGGGGGCAAAGAAATTCCCTTTTCGTCCTGTTGTGTCCCCAGTCAGAGACAAGGAAAGAGAACGGGAGCTGAATCGAAGCTCTTTGACCCTGACACAAGAGCCTTCCCTCGATGCAGCAGGTGTTTTGCTCCTGACTGACAGCTCCTCCTTGTGGACGCACGGTGGGAGAAAGACGGGACGGGATCTGTCAGAGAATCATGGAAGAGTAGCACTGGAAGGGGCCAGAAGGCCATCAGGCTGAGCCCCCTGTTCAGGGCATGACCCCAAGCTAAACCGTCCCTCTCAGAGGACTGTCCAGCTGCTGCTTGAATGCCTCCAGGGTGGGAGAGCCCACCACCTTCCCGAGGCGTTGGTCCCAGCGTAATATGGCTCCAAGAGTCAGAAAGTTCTTCCCCGCATGCAGCTGGGGCCTGATGTCCTAAACTTGAGTCTGTTATTCCGTCTTCCTGCACTCCGGGATGACTGAGAAGAGATACTGGCCTTCTCTTTGTGACAACCACCTGAGCCTCAGGAGATGAAGATGGATCCAGGGGATCCATCAAATCTCCTCCAGGGGGGGATATATCACATCCAGACCAGGATGGATCCCCGCCCCCATCCCATCAGAAAAACCACCCACTAGGAACTTGCCTGGACTGAGCTGATAAAGGGCTGGCCACTGATAACAGAGACAGACTGATCAGTGTGTTTTGCTTTCCGTGCTGTTTACGTATTTTCTGGCCCAAACCTTTTCTGCCGTACATCAGTCTGCAGCTTTCTCGTTCCCGTTCTTTATATCTTCAGCAACATTTGTTACTGTTTTTCTGTGCATGAGGTTGCAAATGTATTTCTGCATGCAGACCCTCTAGACCAGGGGTCTCAAACTCGTGGCCCGTGGGCCAATTGCCGGGATGGGCAGGACACGGGGGGGGGGGCACCCTACGGCCTTCAAAGTGCCGGTGGCGCCTGGGCCGGCCGCGGGATGAGCGGCCCACCACCACTGCGGTGGTGGAATACTTGATGTGGCCCAGCCTCACCCAGACTCTACTTCCAGCGGCCCCCAGGGAAGTTGAGTTTGAGACCCCTGGTCTACATATCTGGCTTTTTAGTCATCACTTTCCCCTAATGCATGGCAATTTGGGAGAGCTTGGGAGTGCTCCTCGACCCAAAACTGTCCTTGGAAGTGACAGCGGTGGCAAGGAGCGCTTTCCTTCAACTTCGGCTAATCCATCAGCTGCGTCCCTGTCTGGAGGAAGACTGCCTGGCAACAGTGACACATGCGTTGGTTACTTCCTGGTTGGATTTCTTGAAGACAGTCCAGATACTTCAGATGGTTCAAAATAGAGCTGCCAGGATGCTGGCAGGGACTGGAAGTTATTCTCATATAACCCCAGTCCTCTGTCAGCTCCATTGGCTTCCCATCAAAGTCCGGGCTCAATTCAAGGTGCTGGTTATTACCTATAAAGCCCTAAACAGCTTGGGACCAGGATACCTAAAGGAACGCCTTTTTCCCTATTTGCCCTCCTGCCCCCTAAGATCGGCAACAGAAGCCCTCTTCCGGGAACCCTCTGTGAAAGATGTTAGGAGACAGAGTACCCGGAGGAGGGCCTTCTCTGTGGTGGTGCCCCGTCTGTGGAATGCGCTCCCCAAAGAGGTCCACCTGGCACTGTCATTATATGTTTTTCGGCGCCAGGTCAAGACCTTTTTAATTAATTAATATTTTAATAAGTTTTAATAGAGAATATTATTATTGTATTTTATTAATTGCAGCCAGAGTGGGTCGTCAATTTATTTATGCTGTAAGCCGTCCAGAGACATTAGTAATTGGACAGCATACAAATTTTATAAAAAAATAAATAAATTTTCCCTAACACGTGTATTTTTGATCACAAGTTGCATCGCAGAGTTCAGAGGAGAGCAATCGTGGAAGGAGAGCTGCCTTCTAGTGCACTTATTCGCTCAGGAAGCACAAACGGGATCAGTTCATATTGCAATGCAGACCAAACAAATTACAGTCCCACCCCGATCGAGGCAAAGCTATGTGTAATTTAAGAGGGGGACATGGTGCCATTTCATTCCTTGGAGAAGCAGCTGTTGTGTTGACCTCATGGATCTTTGCCTTCTATTCATCTATCCAAACACATCCCATCCGTCATAAAGATTTGTATTCCTCTCTTTATTTCCACTGTAGCTGGAAGGAACATTTGAGTTATAGCAAAAAGCTGGGATCCCAAGATCTTGTGGGAAACCAGTCACAGCTGAGGGCAGTCTTGTTCACATGGGAGGCATCAAAATGACCATGCCTTAGTTTTGGCTAGGTATGCATACAAACATACTGCAAGTGAGCTTAGACTGTTGGCTACAACCCTTTGAAAACTGAATTAAGCCTCCATGGTTTCAGTGGGATTTACTTCCAGATGAACATGCAAATTGGATTAACAGGAGTCTCAGATCCTCATCTGCATGGTTTCTCCTCCCCTGTCCCTTCCCTGCACCCCATACCTCTATTCTAAATATAAAAGTTGGCAGGCTTAAACGGGAATTAGAGAAATTCATAGTCTAAAGCTATGAATAGCTACTAGTGGCTTAGATGATACTTAAGATTAATAACAATAATAATATGCCTTGAGGACCATAAGTGGAATGCTTCTAAATGTCCCTTTCTGACAGAATGAGCAAGAGGAAGCTGCTGTCACATGTGAATCCTGATTTGGAGCATCTGGCCAGCTGCCATGGGACCAGGATGCTGGCTTAGATCCAGAGCAATGTCTGAATGCTGCTTGCAACCATGGGGAGAGAGACAATATGAGCATCTGGGACACCTGAGCATCACCAAGACTAGCAAATAAACACAGGATCTGCCCATGTTTTTATCAGCGGGCTGACATTCAGAAATGCAGGAGGTGAAGCTGCTATTGGCAGGAAGATAGCGGTCATGTGAAAACTCTCAGCTGCCAAGTTTGCACATGTTGGGCTGCTGATAAAGTCAAGGGGAAGCTAGTGAGGCAAACTTGTGAGAAACTGAACCTTTCTGCTCCCCGAGCACTTTATGACACCCTCCTCATTGGTCTGCAGCTTCCGTATTTTGTTTCCTGTCCAGTAAAATGGGCTGTCAGAACAGTTTTGGCTGTGAGAAGGAAGAATTTCCTAAAGCAGGTACAAGATATGGGTCTGTTCGGAGGGGTGGGAAATGCAAGAGAGAACAGCAACCACCTGAAGTTCTCTGTCATAGCTACAGTTGGTTATTTTTCAAATGTTTTCCATCCCTATTTTCATTTTAAATGCATTAAAATTCAGTATGGGCTTGCAGACAAGTTCATGTGATTGGTTTGATGCTTTCCACGCATTCACCCACAAAACTGGAATTGGCTTAGTGCTGCTTTTCTTTTATCGATTTGATTTTTTATTTAGTGCCGAGTAAACACAGAAGCTTCTGGAATGGGCTTGGCAAAGTATTATTTCTGTTGCCTAGTGTTTGCGAAGTGCTGAGAAAGTCTATACAATGTTGTTAAATTGTGTATGTGTGTGTGTGTACAGAGAGAGAAACAGAAAGCCAGTGAGAGAACTCCTGCCTGTCCAGCAATAAAATATTTGTTAGCTATTTATACTTGGCTGGACATTGCATTCACTTCCACAGTGAGGAGCTTAAAACCGAAAGCATATCTAATCCTTTTAGACAGAAAACTATTGACTTGCTCTCCCATTAAGGAGTTCATTATTCTTCTCTTCCAATGCTGGGTAAGTCACCGTCTTTTCGTGTCCTTTGCCTACCTGCAAAGCAAGTCCTGTCTTAAAGATTGATGAGATGATGCAATATGACAATGCACTTTTTCAGATTAGCAATGGTTCCAGCCGAGTTCACTAATGCACATCTTTTTCCTGTCTGAATCCTTATATGGACAGTTCAAACCGCAGGCATTGCTTCATCAGAGACAGAAGTTTTGTCACCGGGCCTCCACTCTGCATTTCCTCCCATCGTCATGACAGTCGTGATAGCCTTCTTGCGACCATTTCTCTTCTTTGAGCTTCTTAGGGCAGGTAAGCACCAGAGGGTCCTTCCCACGGGGTGGATTGAATTGTTCCGTGGGGTTAAACGGGGCCGAAACACATCCAAGATGGCAAACACAGAAGTGACACGTCAGCGTGGCCGCCGGGTGGGTGGTGGGTGAGGGATTACGTCCACAAGGAGGCAAGATTGCCACTTACTGAGCTTCCTTTTTTATGCTTTGGAATGCCCCTTGGGAATTACATACCAGCACCGAGGGCTCTCCCAAACCAGACAGAACTTGACTTTTTCAGGGATTCTGAGCATACAGAAATAGCAATCCATATGTATGCTCATAGGCACGGAACTCTTTCAGACTATAGCCCACCCCATAGCACCCTAATCATATGATATCAGAAAGAGACTTTGGGGTCATTCTACTGATATGGGCAACTGCAGTGTAATTTACAAAAGGGCTCAAGCCATACCAGCAGCGGGGAGAAAGGGCTTTATTCAAATTCTCGGGTCAGGTTCGTGTTTTTTTAAAGCAGGTCACAGGGCTGAGCTCCCACTCCAAGGAAACCACAAGCTTCTAGCACTCTTCTATCTCTTCGGGGGCAACCCTTAGAGAAGGGTACCAGAGTAGATCCAGCCAATCCAGAGTCTGAATTTCTGTCTTCACCTTCGCTCTCTCCACCTATGAGAGAATTCTGATGTCACCTAAAAAGTGTAGGGTGGTCCCCTAGACATAAGCCCCCTCTTAGATATCTGCCTTCTCCTCCATCTTCTTCTACTGATGAGAAGAGTCTGCCTATGACTTTTCTGTCCCAGTTCAAGGCCGCTGGGAAGGCAGCTTCTAGGTATGGCCCACCAGGTGCCCAGAAAGGTAGTAGAGCACTCATAAAAATCTTGAGTCGGGACAAAAATTACCACGAAGGGTCCTTCTTGTTTCAGCTCAACTTTCTGCGTTAGAGGCCCATACTGTAAAGCCGACCTTGCCGACCACAGCCAGTGATGTGGAGGCTGGTGGACCCTGGGAGACGTCCCAACCAATGTTTTCTACGCATGCAGAAATCAGTCCAGGTGAGTGTGGCTTCCTGCTCCCAGTCTGGAGTCGTCCCAGGTGATATCCCTTTTCTTGTTTGAGAACCTGGAGAGCCAGGGTGGTGTGGTGGTTAAGAGCCTGGGACTGGGACTCAGGTGATCCGGATTCAAGTCCCCGCTCGGCCATGGAGCCAACTGGGTGACTCTGGGCCAGTCACAGATTCTCAGCCCAACCCACCTCCCAGGGTGGTTGTTGTGGGGATAAGATGGAGGAGGAGATGTAAGCTGCCTTGAGCCCTTTGTAGGAAAAAGGCAGGATATAAATCGAAAGAAACAAAACAAAACAAAAACCTCTTGCTTGGGGCATTTCAGTCCCCTCAGGAGTAACAGGAATTAGTTACATGAATGCAGATTTCCCCTTGACGGTGCCAAACCCTCTCCATTGGCAGGACCACAACACATCCTCACGTGCCCAGAGGTGGTGGCTTCTCCTAAGGATGCGGAAGCCCCTTAACATCAGATTTCCCTTATCCCTCACAGCTGGTTATCAGAGAAGATCTGGAGTGGGGAGCTTGTGGGTGTGTTTTGCTCCTCTCCCAGGAATCCAAACAAAAAGCAAAAGGAAACGGCAGGGGCAGAAGCACAATAAAGTCATGGGAAAAAATGTGATAACAATATTTGGAATAATTGGGCAGTAGGATTACACACATGCGTATGGTATGCTGGGAACAGCCCGGAAAGGGGGCTGCTTTTACCAAATATTTAGATCTTTTAAAGATGTGAGAAAAACCCAGACTGGCAGATTCATTCATTCAGGCCCAAGGCTTTAACTACTTAGCTATGAAATGCCTGGGTTCAAATCCTGTGCATTCGGCCAAGTCAGGGCCGCCTTAACAGCATGATGGGCCCCGGGCAAAGCAGTGCCCTGGGGCCCCTACGACAACGACAACTACTGTTAATTTTGGAAGTTTTCCAATTTTCCAAGGGTTACCATGCACGGATTAGCATGGGGCCCACGGGCAAGCGCCCCTCAGGCCCGTGCGTTCAGGCGGCCCTGGACCTTGTGTGTGATCTCAGGCAGGGTAGGTGCCGCTCTCCCCCGCTAGCAGGCTCCCGCTCTTGCACACGTCTGTGGTTGGCAGGTACAACATGGTCCTCTGCACTCTGGCAATGGCCTTCCTTGCTACATTCGGCTGGAGCACATCGATGAGAAGTCTGTTTCCTTGCTGATAGGAATTTACCAAACTTTTGCAAAGCTCTGCATAGTCCCTTAAAAACATTGGAAGAGCCAGGCTAGGTCAGTGCAGCTGGTGTGGCATTCTGTTTCCACAGTGGACAACCAGTGGCCCACGGGACTGTACAAGAGGGATGCAGGCACGACAACACCTCTGCTCCTGGAGGTGGCATATAACCGTCCGGATGAGTAGCTGTTGGTGGACCTCTCCTCCGTGGAGGGTGCAGCCATCCGAAGGGGTGGGGTGCATGGGCTGGCCCTTCCCAGTGGCTGCTTCCAGGCCCCGGCACTCGAGGGATGCTAGACTAGACTCCTTCGTGTTTCTTTCCACCATAAACAAGGGCATTTCAGATCAAGCAGGCGCCAGGAAGCACGAAAACAGGAAACAGTTTGAGCTGGTTGGATTTCCCAACTGCTTCCAGTCTGGTGAAGAGAGATGGGTGGAGTCAAGGGTTCATGCTGGTTTTTTCTTCATAGTTTCTATCCGTAAAACAGACCACAATATGCATGTTTTGTTCAAATCAGTAAATCAGAACTCCTTTCCAAGGGCGCAGTTCTCATTCCATGTGCCACAGTTAGTCTTGTCTGCCGAAGCATATTGTGCTGGAAAAGATTAATATCTAAAAGATAATATAAAAGAGAACTGAAGATGTATTTTTGTGCAGATGTATTAATATATGAATTTTAATTTTGTGAAAAATTGGATGGAAACAAAGTTAAGACCAAAATATTAGAAATCAAATAAAACCCAAATTCATCTATCCCTATTTTAAAATTGAAAGTGGATCATGGGACGGAAATTGCTCATTAAGCAAGTATGGTGTAGTGGTTAGAGATCAGAAGTGGGACTCAGGCAATCTGGGTCCTAATCCCCACTTGGCCCTGAAGTGGACTGGGTGACTACCTCACAGGGTTGTTGTGGGGATAAAATTGAGAGCAGGAGGAGTAGAATGACGCAACCTGCTTTGAGTGTGTTGTAAGAACAACATGGGGCATAATAAGTGAATAAAATTGTGGGGATTCATTTTAAAAAGGGATCAATTATGCCAAGTAAAAGAACATAGGTACATTTAGTTTATTTTCGTATGGGGTAGGGGTCCTCAGCTATGGATTTTCTGGGCTCGTTTTAATAGCTTGCTTCTTAGCACATAATATATAGCAGTCTGCTCATAGGAATGAGCTCACAGGTGTGGGAAAAGAGCGCACTGAAGGTTTTGAGGGGCATCAGATCATGTTAAGTATGGTTAAGCCCTTTTCTTTGGCTGGCCGCTTAGAGATAGGCAAAGCAGTCTGTTTCTGGTCCGTGTCTATTTTGCCAATTCAGCATCAATTCCAGAGGGGGGTGTGTGTGTGTGGGGGGGTACTTAATCTGCAAAAAAATTGCATTCAGGGCTCAACTCTACACATGTTTAGACAGAAAAATATCCTGCAAGTCCCAGCCAGCTTTTGTGTTGAAACGTGCATAACTTTGTGCCCTAAACATGTATTCAAATGGATTTCAGAATGTTTTTGGGAGGAGCTGAGAACAGCATTGGGAGACTGGAGATGTTCGGAAGCGGGCGGATAGCTAAGCTCTTATCTGCCCAGGAGACGGGGACTGGGTCAGGTCAGCCTTTGGCAGGAATACCCCTCACAAAGCATTTCTCTCCTCTGTTTTGGAGGTGCCTTCTTGGAATGTGAAACCTGCTTTGCCACGGACAGCAGCTGCGAGGGGGTGATGGAGAGATGTGATGACGGCGAGGACACCTGCGCCATCTTCTTGCATGAAATGTCCGAAGGTGAGCAGCGGGATTGTAGGTGCATCCACGGTCGTGGAATTGCCATGGGCCAGTGCAAATCCTCTGAGGCAGGCCAGGTGTGCTGCATCGCATTTTCGCTTTCAGAGGAGGAGGGCAAAGGATGGAGGCCGCAGCAATGTGATGGGCCAAACACCCTTATTTCTCCGCAGGTGAAGAAACCAGGTTGAGGTTTGCCAAAGGCTGCTATGCGTCACAGTACTGTGGCTCTAGACCAGTTTTTGTGACGTTCGGCAAAGGAAAATTCATCAGGAGAAATATCGTCTGTTGCCAAAGCAACGACTGCCCATTGGCTTCTCCCCGAGGTAGGAATACTCTTTCCGTCTCTTCCACCTTCTCTGCCCCTCTCCCGGTATTGCCACAGCACCGTCATGGTCTCATGGGGGATGCAGCCTGCATTTCTAGCGCTTAGTAAAGGCAAGATCCTATGCTGGGAGCTGTAGGACATTTTTCTGTCCAAACCTGTATAGGATCGCTCCTGAAACCTTAGAATCAGAGAATAGTAGAGCTGGAAGGGGCCTCAGAGGCCACCGAGTCCCCCTGCTCAGTGCAAGACTCCAAGTTCAAGTGTTCCTGGCAGATGGCCATCCAATTGCCTCTTTGATGCCTCTGCGGGGGTGGGGGGAGACTGCCCCCCAGGGGCAATTCCTTCCATTGCAATGCTGCTGTAACTAACAGTCAGGAGGATTTTCCTAACATCCAGCCGGAATCTGGCTCCCTGCAGCTTACGCCCATTATTCCATGTCTTGCACATTGTGATGAATCCCAGAGTTGTATATAATCTGCATATAATATAATTCCAGATTTTTCTATAATTTTCTACATATTTTGCCAATGTAGCAAAAATATCAGCTGACCTTCCCTGCAAATTGTTGTCCGGGTCCTGCTCTCCGCCAACTTTGAACACTTGGTGTCCTGCACCAGCAGGGGGTTGGACTTGATGGCCTTCATGGCCCCTTCCAGCTCTGCTATTCTATGACTCTGTGACTTTTTAGATGGATCAAGTAACCATTTGATTTGCATGCTAGTGTCATATTGCAGCTGCATAATTGGCCTTTCACTGAATCTTCTAGCCACAGATGTAAGGATTTTATCAAATCCATTCCATCTGATTGTCTGGTGCCTCGCATGTCATCTTCTGCTCATGGACAGAATCAGATTTTGGCAGAGGCAAGGAAGCCTTTCCTAGCTAAGACTGGTCACGTGGATGTTAGTTCTGAGCCCTCCTCACTATCAATATGAGGAGCATGGTCTCAAGGCACATAAGGCATCCACCATGTGGAAGCTAAGCAAGCCTGGGGCTGGCCAGAGCTTGGAGGGGGGACCACTTGGGTGCTGCTTGAGCTCCACAATGGGAGAAAGGCGGGGTGAAAATATAATAAATAAATACGTGCAAACATCTGCTTGGTGCACAGTGTGCTGAAAGCCATTTCACTGCATGCGCTGCATCATCTTTATGGCAACCATCCAAAGCAGGTCACTGTTATTATCCCCATATAGCAGATTTGACTCAGGAGCTCCCTGCATGATGTGTCGATTGCTCCTCTGCCATGCCATCTCTCTATGTTGCCTGACTCTCTTTGCTTTTCAGTGTCCCCATGGAACACCACTGCCAATGGAAAGCGATGCCCAGGCTGCTATTCTCAGTCACACCCATGCCCTGCAGGGGAGGTGAATTGCACTGGAGCGGAGGACTATTGCTTGAATTTGATGGGGCTAAACGATGCTGGTAATTGTCCTTTTGCAGTGCATGCTTGTATTTATTGATTATCTCTCTACCCCACACTAGCGTGAAAATAGAATGAAACCTAGCAGCAATGCAAGGATTTAAAATGCCAGACAGAATGTAAAACTGTGCAAAGTTAAAATTCCTGGGAGAAGTCCTGGGAAAATAAGGTCTTCCCTGGCATCAAGGAGAATCCAGTGGAGGTTCTCCGTGAGTCTCCCTGGGAAATTCATTGCACGGTCTGGAAGCCCTCTTCCTCGTGGACACCTGCCGCCGCCGCCACCATTATCACCAGCACCACCAGCGCCGCCAGCACGTTAAGGATGTTGCTTGAGGTTTAGCTACAGATCCTAGTTCCAGTGGCGTCTGAAATAAATGTTGAGCAGCTTTCAGCGCATGCAGGCGCATGTTCAGAGGAGCATGTATTGCTCTGTCAAGGAAGGCATGCGTTTTGCGCAGCAGGTCCTGGAGGCAAACCTTTGGCATCATGTCATACGGATGCCCAATGTCTGCCTTTCTTCAGACAGGAATCTTTGTAGGGTAGGAGCTCCAATGAATTCCTGTGTACATTTTCTGCCCAGCGCTCTTACCCACCCACAGCACACACACATGTACGTGCGCGCGCGCGCGCGCGCGCGCGCGCGCACACACACACACACGTCCTTCCAATATAGCATTTCATGTCATCTAAATAATATTTGGTGCTGTTTCTGTTGCTGCATGCGGTCTGGATTGTGTGCACCCCTGGGATTTGCCAATGGAAAACTGGGGATATAAATCAAATGGATAGATGGAATTGCTTAGTTTACAAGGACTGGGGAAAGTGACACTCATCTTTGTTCTGGAATCCAGGAAAGACCACCATCGTGAGAGGCTGCACTACACAGCCCATCTGTGCCGGATTACAAAGCGGCCAACTGGACCTGCAGGCCTTCGAAGTGGAGGAAGCCAGCGTTGAGTGCAGGCGGGCTGGCCAGACCCCTCTGCTGCCTCAGTCCCTCCTCCTGGCTCTCTCCTGCCTCCTGCTCACGGAGGTGCTCCTGTGATGCATCTCAGCACCAAAGAATGCTTCCTTCCCATTTCCAGGAGGAAGATGCCTTCCTCCGAAAGGCCAGGCCAAAGCAAGAGGAGCTGGAGGAGCTGTGTTCGGTGTGGCCTTGTTGCTCCATCCTGTCTGCACGGCCTGTCAGGAGCCCTCCGGGGTTTGGACTGGAACATGGCTGCCCTCCGGCAGCCCTACTGGAGCCTCTAGAAATTGAATCTGGGAGTCTTTCGCATGCTGGGTGCCTGTTCTCGCCCATGGCTATGTGGTGCAGTGGAGCCCAGTTTAGCCGCCAGCATCTCAGCTCAGCCTGCCTAAGGACTATGAAAGCGTCAGCCAGTCAGCGCAACCAGTGCTGCATCAAATGGGCCATGTGGGGGCTTGGCAAAGGCGGCTTCTTCTGCCCCCTCATTTAGCATTGGCCTTTCAGAAGGATTTGCCTTTCTTTGCCTTTCTTCTTCCTGGAAGTATCTCAGACAGCAATGTGAGGTGTGCTGCTGCTGCAGGAATCCATCCCTCTCTGGTTTTATGTTCTGAGAGGCTGGAGGTCCACCAGACCCACCGTTGGAAGCGAGGTTCTCTGGGCTGCTTCTGATGAAGTTCCTGCGGGCAGCTGCATGCGGTTACTTTGACCCTGCATTGAGGGATGTCCTCCGTCATCTGCACTTATTCTTCATATTCTTTTGGAGGAATGATTACTACCACCACCACCACCAAGTGAAAATAAACACCAGACTGACATGGAATGTGGACATATAACATGGTTTTCGTGGACTCTGAGTTCCAGTGTGCTTTTTCCTTGGGTCAGCTGGTTTATAGATCCTGTTCTTGGTTCTGGGAACCAAGTTCAGCCCTGTTGGTTTGAGGGGAACCAAAAGCCACGTAATGCATTATGTGGAATTCTATTGCTTGACATTCAGTTTTTATCTCAGTGTTGATACCACTGGGGAGAAGGATCCTTTCCCCCTCCCTGGGGGGCGGGGGCGAACAGGTGGCCCTTCCAATCTCTGGAAGGCCATTGGTCCCATCCTGTGCCACCCAAGGGCTTTGGATGAAATGAAGGTGAAGGGGCCATGATTGTAACAGATTCTCCGGATTTGCTGGCTTGTTGTTCACATGTGTTGCTCCTGCTGCCTCCCATAAAAAATTCTGCATCAAGTTATTCTTCTGAAATCATATGTCCTCCTTCACCCTCTCCCTGGACAACTTTTTGTCAAATAGGGATGCTCTGAAGAGGTAGAATCCTTTAAACACATACACAGAAACATCAAACAATATGTTATTAGCATATGCAAATCTTTTTTTTTTTTCTTCCAAAGAGCCTGAGCTTCCGATCTGTTTGGTACATAGCCCTAACTGTGCCTGCCTGCTTTTCCTGGACTAACTCATCCTCACATACCGGGGGTAAAAAGATGTATTTTTCTTTCATGAAACAAGAGCATCTTTGGATCAGATGTTTACAAGTTGAAACTTCCAATCTTATATGTGGCAAGGGGAGAGTGAAACACAAATCTCTCTTCCCTTTTTTGCACTGATTAATTTTAGCCAACTGGATTTAACTAATGAATGAGTGCAATTGAACATACTAAAATTAACCTCTTTATTTAAACCTGGCTTCTATAAGAGGTGGAGCAGGTGAATGATGCCCCAGTTAACCTTTTGGGCCTGTTAAATGTGAATTAGCGCTGCTTCCTTGTAGCACGGCTTGGATCATTTCTTTCTTGTCAGATCTTTCTGTACAGGTCTCCTCTGGCTTAGGGATGGGGGGAAATTTTGTTTCAGTCCAGTGTTGTTCAAAATGTACCACAAATCCTGAACTTCTCCGTAGGTGAGAGGGAAAGAACACACAATTTTTAAAAAATTGAATGAGGGAAAAACTGAAAGTGTGACAGATTTGGTGCCTGGGCCCAGGGCTTTCGGGGCTTAGTCTGCATTTGAATCCTTGCATACTCAACTATATCTGTGCTGAGTTACAACTGCCAACTCTCCCTGAACGTGCCAACAGAGCTTTGTCTCTTTAATGCTTTACTGGCATCAGGAACCTCCTAGCCCAGCTCCTGCTGTGAATAGCTGTGCATATTGCATGCAGCTTCTTCGGCTGGAAGGAAATTTCGTTCGTGGGTTTCGTTCGTGCAACAAGAATTTTGCAAAGTTTGCCCATATTTGGAGAAGTAATTGGATATTTTGAAACTCTGAATTCAAGAGAAAACTAGTAGATTCGCTTCCATTTCTACCCTATACTGCTTGTTAGCTTTCGCTGCTTTGCCGCTCCCACCCGAGACTGCTCCTCTGTGCTCTTCAATGTAATGCACATGTAAGGTCCCAGGGAAAAATCAAAAATCCGTTTAGTCCAGGGTCTTCTTTCTCACAGAAGCGAACTAGATCCCTCTGAAGTTTTCACACCCACCTGCGAAACAAAATGTGAAGGGAAACCAAAGGTAGTTTACCTGCTGGGTGCCAAAAACCTGAGACAGGCGTCTTTGGTGTGGCTTTGTTGCTCTTGAAAGTCCTTTGAGCAGCAAGAAAGGGAAGAATAAGAAGAGATTGCCTCTCCGCTTTCAGGCTCTCGACAGAGAGCAACGCTGGAAAGCTGCAGTGGAGGAAGTGTTGGCTGAATCCCCCACGGTGTTTTTCAACAAGCTCGAACCACCAAAGAAGCTACAAGAAGAAAAGGGGAGAACGGTAAAACGCAGAACATCCCCCCCACCAGCCACTTCTTTGCTATACAAGAAGCCCCCAAACCCTGCAGCACCCTGAGAAGTTTTTGCAAAATTCTTACCTCCCCAGTGAAAGGGGCAGAAAACAACTTTCTAAGGGCAATGAAGAGATAGGATGCCACCATTAACATCAGGCTAGCACTGACTCTAAGGACTTTGGAGTGATGAATTTTATGTCCTGGGTTTTTTCCTTGTTGTGTTTGTCTTGGGATGCATTTATGCATGTTTCCACCTTAAATTATTGATGCGTAATACAATGTTTATGTTTTTATGTTCTAAGTAAAATTTGTACGGTTTTCGTTGTTGGCCTCCTTGAACATTATTTTTAGCTGAACGGCAGGATAGAAATAACATAAAAATCCAACCCTCAGACCAAACAATCAATACTATACTAGAAACATACTGTAACAGAGGATGGGGGTAGCTTAAAATAGCTCTTGAAACTCACACTGAGCTGTGTGGCTTCAGTGCGTTACAGGGATATTTTTAAATTGTTTAAAAATAAAGATTCTGAGCAGAAGAGGGCGCTGTGAACCAATTCTCTTGGTGATAAAATGTAAAATGTTTGCATGCTAAAAGTCTCAAGTTTAACCCATGGAATTTCTTAAGCCAGGAAATAAACTTGATCTGAAACTTCAGAGAACTGCGGAGAGCTTGTGCAAACAATACTAAGCCGGGTTGTTTGATTTTGACACTTCCCTAATTCAAAAACTGAGTTGAAGGAAAGGGGTTGAGCTTCTATAAAATTGCTCAAAAGCGTTGCATTTTTTTTTCTAAACTGTGTTGCAAAGACCCAGTTTGATCAGCATCCCCAGTGCAGACATCAAGCATGTTTTTAAAAAAGATGTCCACATGCTGGCATGTCACATCAGATTGAAAGAATCCATGTACCCGAGTTGGGAAAATCCATCCGATTTCCACCCTGACATGGACTCCATACTCATCCCATAAGATCCTGATGTGGTGTATGGAGGAATCCCTTTCAATAAATTCCATATCTTTTTAAACCCATGTTTGTTCCATCCCACATCTGTTCTCCTTTTTAAAAACCACCCATTTTCTGTACAAAACATATATGCATTTTCATGTACCTGGATATTTTTCTGGATATTTGCACACCATTTTCTCTAATTTGCAAGCAGCTAATATATGCCTTTCTGCATGTTTTTGTGGTACTATATGCATTGTAAATGCCATAGCTCCAGTGTATGCCCTATTCTATACATGCCTGGGTTACCATATCCCTGTACAGAGTGCTGTTGATGTATAGTTTTTAAATATGTTCCTCCTGTAGTTCACAGATAGCCAGGCAACTTTCCGTCTGTCAAGTTCTATTTTCTGCACTTGCATTTGTGTTACTTGTGCAGATTTGTACTTGCACAAATCCACCCAATCTCTGTATTTCCATGCTTTAACCTGCAGCAAAAAATGTACATTTTTGGTCAGTGCTCTTTTTTCGCCTTCATTTTTCTATGACTAAATTTGCACAAAGTGCAAATACATGAATAAAAGCCCCAGGAATCCTTGTGATCTGTGCAACTCAGGAAAGCCAGTCTCCTGCAAAATCCACGGGACAGTTTATATAAGCCCCAAATAAGTTGCGGCTCTCTCCGATGTTCCTGCTCCATACCAGCCCCCAGGCTCGCTGTGAGCTTCAGCGGAAGCCCTGTGGCCTGTGCTGTCATTGTCCCCGGGACAGACCATCTCTACGGAGGTCTCCAGCCCTTGGAAGGATTCCCCCTCTAAAGGGTGACTCAAAAGGCAAAAGAGTTTATGGTTGGGCAGTCTTAAGCAGGGGAGAGAAAGCAGATGTTCAGATTAGATGCTGCCCCTCTGACACAAGGAGAGAGAATTTGAAGGGGGAAATAGCGAAGGGAGATTTTGATCTTCTCTTTCTGGGATGCAGGAGACCCGGTCTCCACTAGAGCAGGCCTTCAGAGAGCATCATGCAGTTGCTTCCTTGTCTCAGCAAAGACAATCCCTTCTCTACTTCGAAGCAACAGGATGCAGCTGGATTGCTGGTGGTTTCACTTGCCCGTTGCCGAGGTGTGCGGTCAACTCCTCCCTGGTTTGCAGAACTTTTTCAAGTCTTTGAATGAGGTTGCTTTCTTGGTAAATTTACCAGCTCTCCGGACCAAGATCCCCCATGGTTTGGATTGTTTTGCTAAAGCATTTTGATCCATTCATAAACAATAATTAGTAATTACATATTATTATACTGTATGTGCATAAGTCCTGATGCTGGTGAGGCACAACGTCTGCATATTCCTTGATTTTTTGCTTTTCCCTTGCTAAATCACATTTAACCTTCATAATTGAGATGCAACATCTTTCAGGTGCAATCCGTGGCCTCCCACCATCATCTGGAAGGCCAAAGGATTATTCGGAATCCCACATGGAGGTCCTCTGACCTTAGGACAAGGGCTGCAAAGGCCGAGATTCCACCCTGTCTCCCTCACAGCTGGAGGAGAAAGAAATGTGCCAGCTGTGCCTCTGAGGTCTCAACTGGGTCTTGACGGGGGGAAAGGGGGTGTGCCAGGGCTGTGGGAGGCTGGGGCCATAGGGCTCTGCCAATTCCAAGCAGCATCCTTCCCTATCCCCAGGACTACATCCAGAGGGACAAAGAGGGAGAGCGTCACTGCTGTGCCTCATGCCAGGCATAGGGTGCCCCACTTCTTAGTTCAGGACCATATGCATCTCGTGGGTACAGAACATCGGGCTGCATCCTTAGCAGGCCAACCAGAGGGCCAGAATAGTGTACAAGTTCTCAGGTTCTCTCGGCTTCTTCATCCGGCCAAATGGTAACCCAGTCAAGGAAAAGGCATTTATGCTGTGGCAGTCTTAGGAGGGGGAGAGGAAGCAGATGCTCAGATGTTCAGATGAGGTCCTGCCTTGTGACCTGCATCTATTGGTTGCACAAAAGACTGGCCTAGGAATGATGGGATGAAGCATCAGCCAAGGCTAATGCGTGAGTTTTGAAGCTAGAAAACCCAGCTGTGAGCCAGATCTGTCTCCAGCTCTAGGTATCATGTGAGTGTTCCTCAGCAGAGCGATAGAACAGACAAGTAGAGGGAAGCCCAGTATTCTCTCATGGCGAGGGAAGAAGCCTTTGCAATGGATCCCATGTGGCGAGGGCACATGTGACTGCAAGCATCTACGCGCAGATAGATACTTAGCACAGCGGGTGAGGTTCAGAGGGTTCTGCTTCCAGAGAGCCTGCACTCTTGAAAGCTAAGCAGGGTCAGGCCTGGCTGAAACCTGGATGGGTGACTTGTGAATCTCCCAGAAAGCAAAAGAAGAAGGGGAAGAAGAAAGGTTCTGTTCATGAAAGGTGGTGGTGAATACTTCCAAACACCACCTCAGCGTTGTCCTAGGGCAGAAGAGGGTGTCACCATGGAAAAGGGAGGGGAGAATTGGCTCATTCCCATCTTGACAAACCGTGGTTTACTGTTGAATGGGAGGTCAGTATATGGGCGGAAGCCAGTTTGCCCCTCTCAGGTGTTTTTGGGCACGGCCATTCCCAGGGGCATCCTCCTCCCGCCCTCCGCATATCCATTTGGGCTTCTTCCTTGCCTCTCTCCGCAGGGACAAGGGGATTCCAGTGGCTGAGTAGGGACCAGCTGAATCCTTGCCTTCATGAGGGTGCACTCCATGAAGCACTAAACTGGAACTGGGAAGAGCAGCCTGATTTTGCCAGTAGCGGCCAAGCCCTTACTGGCCTGCTGTGCTTCCCACTGGACTTGTCTGTATACCATTCCCTTTCCCAAAGGAAGGGCGAGCAGCACGTAGGTCGGATCCCATCTCTGTTAACAGTGGGGATCCCTCCAAGGCTCAGGACTGGGAGGCCAAGCTCCGCTCTTGGAGCAATCCATGGCTCAGCCGGCTAAACTGAGAAGCTCAGGGAACCAGATTTATTTATTTATTCATTAAAATTTCTATGCCGCCCCATTCGCCGAAGCCTCGGGGCGGCTCACAACATAAAATTAAAATTCAAGAAATAACAATATAAAATAAGTCGCCTGGCCAGATTAGGCTCATAAGCTGCAGCAGCCTTGTTTTATTGTGATGCCCAGATCCAGAAGATACCTCAATGTAATAACTCTCAATATATGTGTATTCTACACAATGCTAGCTGAGATTTAGCAACAGCCAAAAGGGAGGACAGAGAAATGAAAGGGGAAGTGCTGCATATTGACAATATGAAGGGGGTGAATGCACTGCTTTTGACTTTATAATTTTTACCACATTGCACAAACTCAGCAAACACAAAGAATAGCAAGAGAAAATTGCTGATGACAGAAGTCAGGAAAATGTACGGAACAAGCAGTTTTCTTGACTCTGGTGAACTTGAGATACACAAAGAAGACCAAGCAAGTAGGGGCTTTATTTTTAAAATGGTGGTAATTTGTATTCTCCAGTGATGGGGTGCATGGTGAGTTTATGTTGCTCGGCAAAAACTGTAGCAACAGGTTTTGGGTGTACGTGTGTGTGCACGTGTCCCTCGCCACCTGCTTTTTCAGGTCCTCACCCGCCACCTCCTGTGTACAAAATCGTATCCCCTTATAACAGTCCCCACTCTCCTCCAACCCAAAGAATGTCAACAGATCCTTAACTGTATCCCAGAAATTCAAAGAAGTCTGAGCAATAGCAGGAGGTTGGACCTGATGGCCTTCATGGCCCCTTCCAACTCTACTACTATATTTATTTATTTATTTATTTATTTTATTAAAACATTTTTATGCCGCCCCATTCGCTGAAGCCTCAGGGCGGCTTACAACAATTCTATGATTCTATGAGAGTTGGAAGGGCATCAATTGAATGGATGTTTCTCTGGAGACCTAGACTAAGATCATCCATACCATTGCATTCCCAGTCACCATGCATGAGTGTGAACACTGGACAGTGAGGAAAGCTTACCCAAAGCAAATTTATGCATTCAGCACATGGTGTTGGAGGAAAGATGTGTGAATATCCTGGACTGTGAGAAAGGCACAGGAGGACTGGATTTGAACCTAGATCAAATCAAGCCAGATCTTTCCTCGAAAGGGAGAATTATGAAACTGAAGCTGTCACACATTCAGCATATTGTGAGAGGGCAAGACTCACTGGAGAAGACAACCACACTAGGAGTGTTGACGGGAGAAGAAGAAAGGAAAGAGCAACTAGGAGATGCATTGATTCCACAGTGGAAGCCACAGCTTTGAATTTCCAAGAGATACGTCCGAGATGACTTTGTGGCACAAAACAACAACAGGGAGCTTTGCACAACTATTGCAAACTCATCCATTTTTTCTAGTGCTGTTGTGTGTAAAAAGCCAGTTTTTGCTTGCTTGCTTGCTTGGTCTATTTATTTTTTTTACAAAACAGCACCTGGAAGACACATGACTGAGCTGCTTCTAAGGTGTTGTTTTCTGCAAAAGGGACCATTTTTATTGAAAGCTGCACTGGAAAACCACACGGCCTTGTGTGATGTGTATGAATCCCATTAAACCTGGTTTCCAGCACTGGCTTCCACAAACTGCATCATCAGTTTAAAAGAATGTGGATCGAGGTCCATCTTGCAGATGGCAGCTCACGAGCTAGTTTGATTTGCACTATACTGACTCAGAATCAAGAGGACTGGACTCCCGCCATCCCAGAATGAGTGCACACACTGGACAGTAGAGGAGACTCTGTGCATTCATGATTTTGTGTACGTCTACAGGGCAAATGTGATCTCTCCATATCATCTTGATGAGCACTACACAAGAATGAGTTGTGCATTTCATTATTGGACACGGTGGCCTAATACAGGAACAGAATTATGCTGGTGGGGCTGGGAGTGGGGGGGTGGGGGACCCAAACCACTTCCTGCCCTAGCAAACAGGCCTTATCCAGATCTGATATCAACACACATTGTACCCAACAAAAAATAGCTTTGTTTTTAGCGGCTTTCTTCCTCTTCTTATTTTTAGGTGGGGAATCTGATACCACATCATCCGCTTCTCCATCCCTGAGCAGGGAGAAGGAAAATGCCTGAAGCAGAAAGAGGCCACCAGTCTCACAATGAGGTAGAGTAAGGAGGTCATTTCAGGCGGAAGATGCATTTCAGGTGGGGGTGGGCACTGGGAGAAGCTACCAGTGCAGACGCTAAGATGCCTTCGGATACGGTGAAGGACCCTGTCCCATTACCAGTGTCCAAGTAAGATGCAGCTGTCCATCTGGCTGGCTTCTGCAATTGCTTCTGGGAGGTGGATGCCATCTTGTCCTTTGATGAAAGCAGAAAAAGTTGTTGGGTTGGCCTTGCAGCTGACTGGCATGCCCCATCCATTGCCAAACACTCGAGTTGGCTCAACTTTCCAAAGCCACCAATTAACCCATTCCATTAACTTCCCAAGGGCAAGCATGCGGAGACAACATTGGCAGATGGAGGAGAGAGGTCTACCGGGATTCTTATTTTATTTTATTTTATTTGTACAGGCTTTTATATATCCATAGCCAACTTGGCTCTCAGGTTTAATCATTCAAAAATATAGAATGCATTAGTAACATATGATCATAATAATGCATTAATAACAATACATTACAACATTTCAGCAGCCCCACACCTGAGCCAACCAACAAGAACCCTAAAATAAACCTAAACAACTAAAAATAGCTTAAATAAATGAGCAATGACCTGGCAAGTACATAAGAATGGAATCTATGGAATGTGCTCCCCGGAGAGGTCCACCTGGCGCCGTCATTATTTGATTTTCGGCGCCAGGCTAAGACCTTTTTATTTAAACAATATTTTAACAACATTTAACATTATCTGTAGGTTTTAATTTCCAGCCAGAATGAATTGGGGTTTTCAATTTGTGTAATTTATATTTTTTGTATTAGGCACTACGTTGTCTATTCATGTTTATTTATGTAAGCCATCCTGAGGCATTAAGTGATGGGACGGCAGATAAAACCTCCAAATAAATAAATAAATAATAAGAGAAAGCATAATATTTTTTAAAATATGTCTCACTTAACACATAAAATACTGGGAGAACAAAGAGTGTTTTGCCTGGTGCTGGAAGATGCATGAGGTCAGGGCAAAGCACGTTTCCCCGGGCAGTGAGTTCCATAAGCAGGGTGCCACAACCAGGCAGGCCCTTGCGTGGGTAGCCAGCTTCCTCGCATCCTTTAACCGCGGCTCCCGGGCAAGGCCCTCAGGGGATGATCTTAAGGTCCAAGGAGGCATGTCTGGATGGTCTCTGCCTCAGCAAGGACCTTCTGCATCCTGCTCAGGACTGCACTGCTATCTAAGGGCCTCCAGATAGCACCGTTAAAGTATGGCTTTATGCCACGATGGACATGTCTCTCAGTATAATCTAGTACAATCTTGAACACATCCAAGCAGCAGCTAGCACTGACCATTTCAAGGCACTCTGTCCCCTAGTACATGTATATGAAGCTGTGCTCCATGGGATTTAGAGGAAGTTGCTCTAAAAATATGCGCAGAACCTATATGTACTGCAGCAATCTATTCCATGGGGACGGGGTAAACCCCAGGCATATTTATTTGGACCCAGTGTCCATGCATCAAATGCATCCTGATCGATGTGCATATAGGGTAGGGTTGCCACTCTACCTGGGAGTAAGGAACATCACACTCAGTGGCACTTCTAAAAGGGTTTGGATGAAGTTTGTTCATCAGTTCACAGCTCTGGTGAAAAGGGAAGTAAACACACAGCAGTGCTAAATCCGAAGGGCCTGGAGTCAGAGATGTTCGGAAATGGGCGGAGCAAGGCACCAGCTTCGGAAATGTGTGATCAGGCCTCTTCTTTATAAAGGAAGGAGGAGGCAAGAACTGCCCAAAGAAACAGGGATAACGGAGAATTTGTCACTTCCCAGCATCTGAGGACCCATTGGTGAGTCTTCCCAGCATCTCAGGGCGCATCCCTGTCGTCTTAGTGGCCTTGTACCTCCTGCTTAATCCTGCCTGGTACATTAGTTTGAGGAATAGCAAGTTGCTCCAGGTCACCCAATGAAAGCATGACCCATGTGGAGAGCCAGTGTGGCGTGGTGGTGAAGAGCGTGGACTGGACTCGGGAAAACCGGGTTCGAGTCCCCACTTGGCCATGGATCCCACTGGGTGACTTTGGGCCAGTCAGACTCTCAGCTCAGCCTGCCTCACAGGACTGTTCTTGCGGGATAAGACTGAGAGCAGCAGGAGGAGAGTGGCGTGAGCTGCTTCGAGCTCTTGCAAAAAAGCAGGCTATGAATCTAATACATAGTGCCTGAGTAGGGATCGGAACACAGGTCTCCCGAGTCCTGCTCTGCTATTGCAAGGGCTCACCCCACTGGCCTGCTATCATGTGCTTGGTTTTCTTTGCAATATTTGGTGGATTAATTTATGCAATGTGTTTTTATGCACTATATGCACTTCGGAACTGTGTAACTGGAGAGGTTGTGCCCTTGTCTGTCCAATGATGCTTCTTAAAACGCCTCCATTTTGCTGCTGGACACCATCTGCTTGCAGGTCTGGTTTGGTTCCCCAGCTACACACCGGCATTTGCCACCACCATGAAGATTCTCCTGGGACTCTTGCCTTGCTTTGTCTTCATATATACAAGTAAGGAGCGGCTCAGGCTACCTGTGGAGCAACCCAGCGGTTCATTTTCATGTCTACAGCCGAGAGGGGAGGGGCTTTCACACTGGCCTAAATAGGCATTCTTCAATCGGTGTGCATAGAATTTAATACAATTCGACCCAATCTGCACCTCCCAGACTAATGTGGAGATGAAAGCTTAATTATTTTTCAGAGTTTGCCTTTCTCCAAATTCCTAGATGAACTTCTCAGTATAAGAGTTTCATTCTTTCTCACAACACGGGTGGGCATATTGTTATACACTGAAGTTGCTCCTTTTTTGAGCCCCGTGGCTCAAGAGGTTGACTACACCCTTATGCTCCACACGAGCTCTTTACCTCAAGCAGAAGAAAACTCTCCATACCAACATGCAGAAGAAACCAGAGAAGGTGTTGACCAGACCAGCCTGGGAACTGGCCAATCTGTTGTTTCTTTCCTGAGTGCATCCTTTCCCGAACTTGGGCTCCCAGGTATTAGGTACTCCAGTTGCCATCATAACCAGTCAGGATGCCCAATCATCAGTGATGATGGGAATTGTAGTCCAAAAACCTTGGAGGACCCTCAGTTGGAAACGGCTGATTTAATGGCTCATGTCCCCACCCCTCCAACTGTCAGATCTAGAGACAATTCATTGCTTGCAGCAAGAAAAGCAGATAAGAGGGTGTCTTTTATTGGAATCCCCTCCAGCCTTCTCTGCTTGCCTGTTGGAAGTGGAGATTAAGAGTCCTGGGCTGCTCTCATGGGATGGATTAACTGTGTTGTTTGGCTCTCCCAGAGCTGTAACTTGTGCACTACATTGCTTCATCCCTGGTGGTAGGAGCGTCCTACCATGACCAGGAGGCCTGAGATCTCCTCTTCTCTCCTCTCCTCTCCATCTCCAGGTGCTTCTCTGGAATGCGAGGTCTGTGCAGGTGTCGGCACCAGCTGTACGGGCATCATGCAGACCTGTGAGGCTGGCAAGGACACCTGTGTTATTGCTGTGTCTGAAAGCTCTCTGGGTGAGCAAGAGCGACCGCAAGTGAAGCTGAGCCTCTGAGTAGCTGGGCCAGGCCCAGGATAGCAGGAATGAAGTGAGCCACGCCATGTGGCAGATCATGGGTCCAGTTCAAGCAGATGCTCATCCATAGAATTTACTGCTTAGCATTTCATCTCCAAAATGGTATCCATGGCACCCCCCCCCCAAAGATTGGGGACCCTTGTGTGGGGACATTTCTGACAAGAGCTGATGCAGGCATCGTCTGGCTTTTTCACCCTTGGCACTTAGGCAAATGAGGGTAAGGTTTGTGTGTGAGCATGGCAGCAAAAGATGCCCGTTCTCTGTAGCTTAAGCCAAGCATGCCCTTGACCAAGCACAGGGAGATGTCCCTCTCCTTCCTGTGTCTCCTCTTGAGCAGAGAGAAAAAAGGTATTGGTTGTCATATGTGTGTGTGTGTGTGTGTGTGTGTGTGTGACCAACGTATCAGCCCTGTTCAAGCATTCACTGCAACATGAAGGGGCTAAAAATGTGTCAGGCATAAAGGTGTGCTTCCGAGCCCTGCCACAATGCCCACATCCAAGCGGGGATCAACCGAGACCTTTGACATTCAGTGGAGTGGTCTGAAGACAGCTGTGCATGTGGGTGTCTTTGCACAAGAGAGAGCTGATCAGACTCACAAGTCTACACACCATCATCTCTGACAAGGTGTGACAACCCTGACGAGGCAGGCCTTGTGTTCATGCGGCAACTCCAAGTGGGTGGAGACAAATGTTCCTGCGAACCTCTTTGGCCCCCAGAGCGGAAAGGAGCCCCCACATGCAGGGAGGGTGGCGAGTGACTGGCCCGTAGGCCCCCACCTGCCGCACGATGTCAGTCTTCCTCATGCAATCGGGCAAATGCCAAACAGGGCTATAGTGATACGTTAAACATCTGCCAAAGCGTTGAAAACTGCCCTGTGGTGAACCAGACCATTTAGAGAAGTATTGTAAGGACCAGAGGTGGGCCACCTGGACGTGGTGTTGAAGCACAATTCCCAGAAGTTTTGGCCAATATGATCGACGTCAGGGATTCTGGCAGTTGCAACATTTGTGGAAAGGCAGGCACTTGTCTGTCGCTGGGCTCTGCATTCTCCTAGTGTTCAGCCCTACTTGGAGATGCTGGGGCCAGAACCGGGGGCCTTGGCATCCAAGGTACCGAGCTAGAACGGCCCTGATTCCATCAGCCATAGAGATGCCAAGCCTAGTCTACCTTGCTTGTTCCAGCTTTCAGCCGTAATCCAAAACAAAACCCTGCCACTGTTATAAGCGGTGCTTTTTTGTAAAAAAAAAAAAAAAAACGGTGCTGGAACTCACGTCTTGGGGGCACACTTTTACACAATGGTCGCAGCCGGCAGTAAGCACTCAGCGTGTGACCACACGACCAATCCCAAGCCGAGCAGTTAATGGTTTTTGCTGCCGATCTGCTACGCCCAACAGGGCGATTCACAATCACTTGGAAACATCCGTCAAAAAACGGTGCCAGAAAGCCGTTCCGGTGAGTTCTATGATAAAAAAAGCCCTGGTTATAAGTTTGCTGTAGGCTGTATTTCATGTGTCTCTGGCTTGTTTGCTTCATTACACTATGAACTTGGTATTGAGGTTGGCTGAGGTGATATGTGGTTGGGACTATGATCATATACCAGTTCGAACTGCCTTATGGCAGAAATCAGTATAACAAAGATTAGAATGGAGTAATAGCCTCAGCCTATAGTTGTTTACTCAGGAGTAAGCCTCTTCGAGCATAATGAGACTTACCCACAGATAAATAATTATAGGGCTATAGCCGAAATTAAATATAGGAGGAATTATTTCTTGTTATAAACAGATTAATAAATGGGGCTGTGTTTTAGTTTCTCCTTCCCTGAAACTTGCAAAGCTCATTGATAAAAGGAATATATTTATTTTTAAGTGCATGCTGTGATTCCCTTTCTCATTCCTTTATGTCTGCAGCTGGATTCCACGTCCAGACAATAGCCAAGACCTGTGAATCTTCCAGCGTCTGCAGGTATGGGCCGCAGTATATGCACTTTGGTCACGGGCAAAACCTGAGGGCAAGGATTACCTGCTGTGTCGGGGCAGCCTGTAGAACCGCCGTTCCTCAATGTAAGTCCCACGTTCTCCCCTGTTTCCACCCCCTCCTCATTTTTACTGAGTAATTCACTGCCATCGCCCACCTTATTTTATTTTATTTTATTTTATTTACTTAAAACTTCTCTATACTGTCCCTTCACAGACCTCTTGGGATGGTTTACAACACCATTAATAAAACAGAATAAAAATACAAATAAGAGTAGGAGTGGCACAGCATTTGACGTTAAATATAAAACCACCAATTAAAGCAAATTAGCGATTAAAATATTGGGAGAATAAAAAGGTATCAATTTTCACTGAGGCCACCCTATAGTCCTGTTTCTTGCACTTACTAATGACCTTGTATTCTTTCCTTCTTTTATTTTTCTTTCCTTGTTGCGAAGACAGGAGTATGCTCCTTTTTAATATTTGGGATTTTTAGAATATACTACTAAAATAGCAGCAAAGGGCACGGTCCATTATTTATTTATTTGTCTGTCTGTCTGTCTATCCTCCCAACTGATGGGCTTTGGCCAATTGGTTTCAGTGCCTCCAGTCATCATCAAACCCAACGGGAAGCAATGTCCGAGCTGCTACTCTTTGTTTTCGGGCACCTGTAATGAGGAGGAGATGGTGGACTGTGTTGGACCGGAGAGTGAATGTCTCGATTTAGCTGCAACAGTTGTTCATGGTAATTCTGAGTTCAAACATGTGCACGGAACAGGGGCCGGATGTAGAGGGGTTAAATGGCTGTGAAAAGCAAGAGGTACAGTCCATACTAGTTAAATATGCAAGATAAGTGTGATGGTTTTAATGAAGAGTCACGCCTAATACCACTAATGGTGTGCTCAGGTCCACAGGTGCTTATGTTGTAATCAGTCTTTTGAGTGTCCCACATCACTGGGTCTCAAGTGGCTTCAGAAATGTTCGTATTCAGCTGAATCCAGATTTGACCATAGAGAAATCAGAGGGTATGGGCAATTTTGGGGGGATCCAGGGGCCACCTTCACCCCCATGGACCTCACCTGAGCTGAACCCTGGCACCATTTCCACTAAATTTGTCACAACGGATAGGACGGAGCAGGAGAAAACACCCGTGGTTTGCTGCCGAAGTTCACTGGCAAACGGAGCCATTGGGCTGAAACAGAATTAACTTTGTCTCTGAAATTTAACAGCAAACTGCCATTTTCCCCCCAGCAATGAAAGTTTTGGGGGCACAATAGTGGAGGTTGTCAATGAATGCTCTGAGGGGTCGTGGGGCTACAGGAATCCAAGCAAGTCCCGTGTTACCCCCACCCCAGAGTAAACCCATTGAAAACAATCGGGAACTGAATTGTCTGGATTGCGGCCATGGACAAGAAACATGGATTCCTTCTGTAAAAGCAACTCCAGTGTGGAGCTGAGGCGTGTTCTGGGGGCGATGAGGCAGGGGGACCCAGGGGCAGGACTCCTCAGAAACTTGCTGAGAACGTAATGAAACTATTGAAGTAGAAAGATCCACTGCTCCTGTCCTTTGGCATGAAGTGATGTGTAACAAATGTGTAAAAAGCACGTGGAGCCCCAAAGGGATCTGAAATTCCTCTTGATCTTGCTAGAAAATTCCATGGTGATCACCTCATGTGGAACACTTCCATGTTAAGCCCTGGGATTATTCCACCGCTAACACTTAACACTTCCATGTTAAGCCCTGGGGTTAGTCCATCAACCCATCCGGTGGTTTGGGCTATGCAAAGTCTTGCAAAACCTGGATTTAAGGCCATGTGTCAATATGACTTGCAGAAGATCCTGGGACTTGGCCCACTTGGAGCGGAAGGCTGTTGTTTCTGGGCACCCATGCTATTATTTGACTGCAATTCTTTCTTCCGTGTCCAGGAACTGTTGTTGCCAACACTCTCCAGAAAGGCTGCGTCACCAAGGGGGTTTGTAGTGATTTGAAAGTGGGTGAATCAGATATCGGGGGGATTCGCTCCATCATCACCAGTGCTGTGTGCAAAGGAGCCAACTCCACCTCGGCCTGAAAGATGGCTTGATCAACAACAACCTTCTCAGGATAAGCTGGACTCCTGCAGGTGAAGAACCCCTTTTTAATCCCTTTGTGTTGGGCTGCATTGCTTGGAATCTGTATAATGTCTCTGTGTTGCTTCTCCATAAGGTCCTCCAACCCGAGGTCACTCATGGCACTTAATTGTCTATTCTATGTGAAAAAAGTACTGATGTGCATTAAAACAGATGAAAGGTGTTCCTTTTTAATGTTGGTGGAGTGATTTAATGGGGAGACCTGCTGTGTTGTGTTTCTTTTGCTTGTTTCTTTTGCTTTCTTCCCCTAAGAAACTTTATGTAAGCATCCCCCCTCTCTCCCCCTCCCCCCTCCTTCCACCCTCTGTCACACACACACGCACACACACACACACACACCCCTCTCCATACCCTTCATTCTTCCATACCTAGGATCCACCTCTAATACTAAAATCCAGGATTTATCCCATTTTTAGCTTTCTCTTCCCATGTGTAATTTTCCTCTTCTGTCTATCTTTCTGCCCCCACTCCTAGTCCTTTCCCTTCTTTGCCTCTCTGGTTTTCTCTTTCACCTATAAGAATGTAAGAAAAGCCATGCAGGATCAGACAGAAGGTTCGTTCCGTCCGGCACTGTGTGTTCCGTACCCTGCACATTCCATGTACTCCTCTCCAAGATCCGGCAGTGCAGCAATTGGAACAAATTGCCCTCGTGGATAATTCACCGCCCATTCTCAACCCCACCCTTGAAAGAACACGGAGAAGGCCAAGGTTCACACCTGAGTCACCCCTAGGGCTCAGAAAGCACCACAATACCAGGGAAGTGCAAGAGGATGACCATGGCCTTTATGAAAACCATTCCACCACCAGCGGGATGCGTTTGGTGATGTCACTTCAACAGACGCTCTCTAACAGAGACGCGTTTCTCCTCACAGCCCAATCCTGGGGGTGACACAAGACCCTCCAATAGAAGGCAGTGGAGAGTCAGGGCATCCCGGCCACCTAGGAAGCCTGGCTACACTTGAGTTTTGTGATATGGATATCAGTTCCTTCAGAAGTTGATTTGAAGCCTTTTGCGTCACATACGTCTTTGGTTACACAGCCCTTCATGATGATGTGCATAACATAGTTACCTGGAGAGAAAAATCAAGGCAGGTGGTCAGAAATGATGAGGTGACAGCCGGCCCGCTAACCGCTCCTCACACATCGACAGAGGCCCAATCCACAGCGTGCTCATCACGATGGCAACGACATGAAAAGCCCTTTTTTAGAGCCTGCCTTTCAGACATTCCATTTCCCAGAAAGGCTTCTTGAAAGTTACAATGTCCTTTCCCACAGGCTTAGACTCTAGAATGTACGACATGAAATTGGGAGGAGGGAATGGGAAAGCCGCATCTAAGCACTAGCGTCCTAGTGGTGAAGTTCAGCAGGACCCGAAGTTGGATCTGAAGGAATGGAAAGATGCCTCATTCCCCCTCCTTCTCTGGCCCCAGCAGTTGCGTTAACATTCATCTACATCGGTCGGCATCTCAGGCATTAAGGAGGTTTTCCCAAACAAAGCAGATCCCTTGAGGAAGTTAATTGCATATATAGTCCCAACGGCATCATTAACCATCGATCTGGAACTTACCGTATGTTACTGCTTCCACCATATCAAGGCAGTAGTCTTCCACTCCGACACAAGCCACCGTCTCCGTTCCACATTCCACGGGGGACGCCGGAAAAAAGGAGAAAGCGTAGCAGGCTGGGCAGCGCTTCCCATTGGGCTTGTCCATTGCGGGTGGAACTGAAAGCGATCACAGGTCACCGGTCAGGTCCTTGGGCCAAAGCAAGGGGGACCGTGGACACCGGCTGCAAGGATACCTACACTGTGGAGCAGCTGTTCCGCAGGCGTCACCTGTGCAGCAGGTGACGCTGGAGCGTACGGATTTCCCCTGCCCGAGAGTCATGTGTGTTGGGGGTACGTGGCACGCAGCGGAGTATTCGCAGGCCTTCACCGAGGTGATCATCTTTTCACCTGCAAAAGAAGAGGAAAGGGGAAATCTGGCCTCTTGAGCACAAGGGTTCGTGCCCAGGGTGGCATGGGGTGCCGGGGGTGCCGGGGGTGGGCCCAGCCCAAGTGTAGTCCCCCCGCCTTCCCCTGCCTCTTTCCCCAAGGCCCCATGCCATGGCATTACAGGACCCATGCAGACGGTGCACGGTGAATGCGTCTGCCTTCTCTACTCCCGTTGCTGAACAGTGTAGGAAAAGGGGTTGGAGCCTGGAAGGCAGCTGTGATGGCCCCATAGAACGCCCCTGTGAGCTGAAGGAGACCACAGGTTCCAAAGCCCCACTTCGGCTGGACCCCCGTGCACAGTGTAAGCCTCACGTGAATGTAAGTCTTGTGCAAAACTCCTCTGGGAACTTGTGGCTGCTTGCTTTTGAAATTCCAACGCATCTTGCCACCATTCATTTCAGTTTTTAGTTTGTTGACCTCTCCATCAAAGTGGCACTCTTTATGAGCAGGTAGGAGCCATGATGTATTAATGATACCCCCATGAACACACCATGGCTTAGTTCTGAAAACTAAGTAGTGGGAGCACCTGGCTTGTGAGCTTTCCAGCACCACCTGCCTGGCCTTGCGTGATTTATTGAAGCAGAGTTGTTGTCCGGGTTGCTAAATGATGGTGATGCTTCTTAGGATTATGACGAAGGTGCAGTGACAGGTGAGTGGACTGAGTGATGAGCAGAGTGCGGAGGGAGGGATGTCCCTTCGACGGAGGGATGCTAGAGTACTCAGGACAAACATGATCCTGGAAGCCCAAAGCTGCCCATTGTGGAACGTAGGTCTGAATCCATGCTTTTCACCAAAACGTGTGCCTTGCTCACTTCTGTGGTCGGCAAGCCTGGAAATAGGACTCAGGATGCTTAGGGCCCCATCCCAAATACCTAAGATGGCTGCAAGGCTGCGGGTGGCCCCCCGGCCCAGTTCGTGTACGCTCTCGCTCACCAGTTAGTGAGTTTTCAGACAATATGGTGGCACACGTGTCTTGGCCGGCAGCGCACGTCTGCGTCACGCCGGTGCAGCTGCTGCCAAAGCCACTGCAGACTTCGCATTCCAGAGACGTGCCTGAAAGGAGAAGGCAAACCCATTGCAGTCCGTTCAGGCGCTCAGCCCTCCCCACCGAAGAGCCCCTCTTGCTCCATCCAGCACCGGAAGGCACTGCCCACGCGCCTAGGTCTCTGCCTGCCCCACAGGCCTCTCCTCCAAAGGATGGGGAGAAATGGAGGTGGGAGGAGGTGCCCCTGCCAGCACCCCTTGCAAAGTGCCGGTTCCCACGACCTGCTCCTGGGTCTGTGCCGGGGGCACACGGGCCAAGAGGCCTCAGGCAGGCCAGGCATGTGGTTCGGCAGGCAGGAGGGGCTGGGTTGGCAGGAGGAACAGCCGCCCTTGAAGCCCCACCCTCAGCCTCTTGGGCCAGTGGCTTCCCACCCTCTCCCTCCGTCCCTCCGCGTGAGCAGTGCGAGCGTTGCTGATCGCCAGTTTGGAGACTGAGGAGGAATACTGGCTCGTTGCCTGGACTAGCCATCTTTGGCCGTACACAAGTTCCGTCTCCCCTGTCTGTGGTTCCACGGATGGGGTTCTCCGGTCAAGGTAGCAGGTAAGGCCAGGCGGATTCGGTGGGGCTAGCAGAGGTGGGCACCTTTTAGGAGACTAGGGGAACCAGGGGGTCTCCAGTCAGGTTTGGGGCCCACTGGGGAGGGACCGGTTGCCTTTGAGGCTGACACACCTCACCCACGCAGGGTTTGTGGTGGCTCCAAGAGTGGGCGATTGGGGGAGGCCTCTCAACACCAGAGTGGTATAAAACTGAGGGGTGGAGCTTTCACGGGCCCCACCCCTCAGGAATCAGGTGACCCACCCTAAAGTCTGGGCCTGGTGTTGTTTAGCACTCACACTAGTTTCCCTCTGCGGGTTTTAAATCTGTGAATAAATGTGAGTTTGGTTTGCACTTACGATAGTTTTCCAAGGAAATGGAATGACTGCTGATCCCTTTTATGTCTGTATTGGGAAGTTCTTAAATGATGCGCTAGATACATTTCTCCTATCAAACTGAAACTTTCTCCAGGGGTGCTTAGCAATCACTCCTTACCTGTCTTTAGAAGCACGGAGAAGAGAAAGAGTCCCAGGAGAGAATGCATTTCGGCAGGAAACTAGCACAGAGGAAGCAAAGACTGTCTGTAATGTCAGTGACATTCAAGGAGGAAAATTAGTTATTTTATTTTCATGGACACTTCTGTTTCACAACAGATTGGCTCAGAATGCATTTCCTTTAAACAGGGCAATTGGTCATTTTCAGCCCAGTTCAAGCTGAGAAATATGGTTTTCCCACAGACTGTGGGAATCCAGCTGTTAAGTGAACTAAATAGAAATGTGAGGTTGGAATGTTTAATGGGTGCCTGGGACAAGCCTTATAAGTGCCCAGGACTTCTTTTTCTTTGCCAAGATACATACAACTTTGCATCAAGTCTAGTTTGGAGTTGTTAGTGACTTTGCTGTGAGTTAGAACTTACTTTATGAGTAAATATTTGGCGATTCTGCCTCCCCTCAGAGTATTCCCGATCTAATAATTTCCTTATTTTCAGTGTTGGAATCAGCAGGTAAGAAAGCTATTTTTTAAAGAAACAGCAAATAGCAATTTGCTGTTAAATTACTAAATTTGACAGTGTTCGTGCCATCAGACACATATTCTCAGATCAAGTCCTCCACCTGCTATTTGAATCCCCTGACCTGTGAGCTGGAGAAGAAAGGGATGTTAACATCTACTTTTGGAACAATATTTAATTATATAAATCCTTTTATATAATTCATTGATCCTTTATTCCATATTTAGATTGTAAGCCTGAAGGAACATGAGAGTCATGCCTTTGGGTTTTCAGTCTAGATCACCAAATATTTATTGCTAAGGTAAGTCCCAGAGTTCCACAGAAAAGGAAACACAGAAAGGATATTTAACAACTCGGAACTCGACCTGATGGCAAGACTTGAGGATCTTAATTTAGAAGATGCATCGTCTCCCTAAGCCCCCTGGGAGTCTTTTTGGATAAAATTGGGGATATAAATATAATTAATAAATAAAGGCCTGCACATAGCTGAACTGATTGTTAAACCTCTTTCCATAAATGAAACTTGATTAGCAATTTACAATATACTCGTATCTATACAAAGTAAAATTGCCAGAAATTGTGCATACTGACATACCCGCAAGAATTACATATGAGGGTAGGTAAACAAGAAATTTAGACTGGAGATGTGTTGGAAAGAAGATGAGAGGCTTACCAAATGGTCCTGTGTACCTCAAAGATGCTTTAGAGGACAACTCTGTGGAATCGGACCTTCTGATGAAATTTGCCTTCTGGTTTCTCCCATCCTGTTCCCTCTTTATAAAGGCTTTGGTGCCATGGGGTTTATTTGGACACCCCACTATCAAAAAATCCTTCCCCTTTCTGCAAATAATGGGAAAAAAGCAACCAACAACGTGGCAAAGGCCAAATGTCAGAGGTGCTGAAGTCACTCTTAACTGTTATCAGCAAGGGAAAGTTGGAGGACAACAGAGAACAAGGAAGTACATCCGACAGAGCCCCATGGCATGGGCACAGAGCAGATGTGGGTGTGCCTCAGTTTCCCCAAAATTTGCAGATTCCTTCCCATTCAGGATGGAAAGGACTTGATGATTTCAAATCAAAATGGGAGAACCTGAAAATGACAGAAATGTCCTTCCAAGCCCAAGCTTTTACGTGTTTGTCCGTTGACTCGATATACATGCGAATGTGTTAGTGCTGAATAACGATGTCCAGCTGTTTCCTTCTAAGAGGCTTCTAAACGTTCAGCAATTCGGTAAGAGGATAGCTAACAAATCGCTCCAGTGCAGACGAGGGAGAATTTGGGGTGGAAATAACATGAATTCTTAGAAACCTAAATGCATAAGAAAAACTGTCAACTCTCCGGTGACCCCGTAGAGCTTTTGCAAAGTCACTGCAGGCCTTCAGCATTTCCTATGGCTGACCAGACAGTGTCTATGGCCATAAGATTGCACCATAAACAAGCAGAACACAATTTATGTTATCAACAGAAAATGATTTCTCAGGAAATTGCTATTTCACAACACTCCCAGCTGCCAGTAAGGAAATGCATTAATTTTTAGAAAGTGAGCATGAGGGTATGTGCTGAGACAGGTGTTCAGGAAGTGCAATGCTAGCTCCAGGCCCTCCACATCCTCTTCAACAGGTGAGTCAAGGCGACATGCTGGGCCTTGGTGTCAGACTGGAGATAAACTTCTGTGTCAAAATATATAGCGGTGAAAACTGAATCAATGACCTTTTAAATGTTCATTTCAACTCTATAATGAAATGGTAGATTTCAGTTCAGTTTCTTTCTTCTGTAGAAACATTTCTGCTGATCTTACCAGCTTCCTGTGATACTTTTTAGTAGCGTCCCTCAACAAAAGGGAAAGGCAGGAAGATTTCAACAAAGAGTCATCAACATTTTATTCTCTGCAAGAATGTTTCCACTTGTGCTTGTGGTTGCTTTGGAGACTTGGTTGTGTTTTGCTTTTCTTTTGTAGAGCTAATTGCTCTGAGATCTGGCAACTTATTCTCTCCTTTCTGCCAAAGCAAAGACTTTCTTTTCCATTCTACTCAGGTTCTTTCAGGCACATGTGACTATGATATTGCACAAGGACTTTGGATATGGGCTTTCTGATGACACATTGAATTCTGACAGTAAGCCAAATATGCTGCCTATTCCAAATGGAGACAAAACACATGGGAGTTCCCAAGCACCAAACTTTCTGTCCAATTCCAGGAACAAATTCCTTCCCTCATTTCTTCCCTTATTCCATTTCCTGTCCCAAATATATTGGAATTCTACCAGGGCCATGACTATGCTGATCTGGAAGTCAGTCCTGTGGATCTTAATAGAACTTCATCCTGAGCGAATCCACTCGCCTTAACAATGTTCCTTCCCTTCTTGGGTGCCGCAAAATATTCTGTGCTCAATCGAAGCTTTGGAAAGTGTGCAGGGCTGACATTTGATAGGACGTGTTCAGCCACCTCCACCTCTTCCCTGCTTGCACTGGGGAAGAAACAAGTACATGAACGGAGATCAATGAGGCAGACGAACAGAAGAGAGGCCCTGAGCAAAATGGTTGTCTCTGCAGAGCACCGCTCCCCGGGTGGCTGAGCATTAGCAGGGTTTGCGCAGATCGGAATGGTCTATGCCTCCAGAATTGCACAAGGAACCAGTTTCCCTTACTGCTAACCAGGGCTTTTTTTGACGGATTTTTCCGAGTGATTGTGAATCACCCTGTTGGGCGTAGCAGGTCACGGCAGAAATCATTAACATAGTGCCTGCGGGCTGCTGGCGTGTCGGCGCTGATTGTGAGGGCGCTGCTCGGCTTGGGATCAGTCGTGTGGTCATGCAGCTGTGTAAAAGTGTGACCCCAAGAGGTGAGTTCCGGCGTCTTTCTTTATTTACAAAAAAAGCACTGCTGCTAACCATACTGCAAACATTATCCTTAACCTGCAGAGCTGGTGAAACCTCCCTGCCTCTAGAGAGCTTAAATGCAGCACCCAGGGTATTCTTGGCGACTGCTGCAGTTGCTGCTCTCAGTCAAGGCGAGATCTAGGCTTTGGGACAAGCACTGGGAGCTGGGCTTTCTTAACCCTAACCTAAAACTTAAGCACCGCTCTCTTTCAATGCCTCTTTCTCCGAAGTACATGCAAAAGTGTTCTGCTCAGGGTTTTCCTGTTGGCATCTGACTCTTGCTGCCCAGTCTAGGCTAGGCTCTGGCCCCTGGACTTGTAGGGGAAAGCAGGTTTGCCAGACTCCAACCCTAAATGGAAGCTGGACCCTGACATTAACAAAGTGGTGAAATGCATCTCATTCCAGACAGAACGCAGAAAGGTGCCACTCGGAGTGTCCATATTGACTGTTCATTCTGTCTGCCAGACTTGGGTAGTTCCAATAGCTGAAACGGGGATGAACCCAGGTTTTCCTAACCCCAACCCCAAGCTGAAGTTTAAGCTGAAACCTAACATGCAGGGGAAATAACTCTTTGGCCAGAGCATGCGCCTAAAGGCAGGACTTGAGGGGTTCTGGGTGGCATTGCTTTGCCTCCCTGCCCCCCTCCTACCCCACCCTCCATCCTGCACTGAAACCCCACCATTCCCTGGGTGTTGGCCAGGAAGCCAGGAAGTAAATCATTAATGTGGAAAGAGAGAAGAATGGACTATTGAAAAGCTGCTGGAATACCTGCCCTTTATCTTGAAACAAACAGCCTTTTGTTCAGAGTGGCAAAGGAAATTATCACTATAATGCGAAATGCCTGGTACGATTCTGAGAAGGGGTTTATCTTTCTTGAAGCCAGTTCAGTAAACATGATTTTTGAATGAGGCTTTGTAATTCATGGGTGGCAGCTACACCTTTCTCTATCTTTTGAGTCAGTTTTCCTGTCTCAGTTGTCCCTTCACAGAAGCCATTCATGTCTTACATCTTCAAATGTACATCTTGCCACATGCCCAACAACCTCGCTTCCTATTTTTCATAAGGTTTGATAGCCACTCTGTCTTCCCACAACTTCCAAACCCACCACCATATTTTTTTATTTATTTTCCCTATTTGGCTAATCCATTATAGCTAACAGGGTTTGTACTGCAAGATGCCATGTTACAAGTTCTCTTTCTCAGTAGGGACAGCCTGAATCTGGTCGGTAAGACCTTTGCTAAAAAGACATCGCCACTGTCCATCGTCATCTCCAGTTCACCGGCCTCCTTCTTTGCCCGTGGATGGCCACGTTTGGCCCACAAGACCAGAAGCTTCTGCACTCCTGCCATCCTGGTTTCGTTTCCGTTTTTTGGTGGAGAGCCATTCAAGAATCCAGGGCACGGGTGACTGACCAACAGGCAGGGGCACCAGGACCCAGGTTAGGGCTCAAAGTTCAGTCCAAATTGTACTCAAGGTCCGAGCCGGAGCAAGGTAGTCAGTCCAAGAGTCAAACAAGCCAGGAGTCAGGAAACAAGGAGACTGCCAGGGGCTGGAGCAAGGGAAACGGAAGAAGGGTCCAAGAAGCCAAGCAGGTCCTGGAACAGAGTCCGACAGACAAGGAGCACTCTGACAAGTCAGAAACCTTCATTGCCGAAGCAACTTCTGGAGGAAAGACCCAGGTCTTATCCACAGGGCTCCCAGGTGGTGCTCATAACAAGCCCTGGCAGCTGCAGTAGATTGGGGTAGCAATCCTGCGACTACCAGGGCTGCTATGCTGGTCCTTGGCCTGCAGAAGGAGCCCTGAAGCTGTCCTGGGTCTTGGCAGCTGCCTGAAGTAAGACACTCCAGGATAATCGCTCTGCGTTGATTCTGCTGCTTGTAGACCCTGCCCCTAAAACCTGACGGAAGGCACTCATGCAGCAATCCATTCGACCCTTGTGTGAAATCTCCCACAGCTACTTACAACTTTCCTCTGGCAGCTCCTGTGCCTTTGCCTGCTTCAATGAGAACCATGCATGCATGCAAGAGTCTACAGCAGGGGTCTCAAACCCGCGACCCGCGGGCCAATTGCCGGGACGGGCGGCGCACGGGGAAGGGGCCCTGCGGCCTTCAAAGCGCCGGTGGCGCCCAGGCCGGCCGTGGGATGAGCGGCCCCCCACCACCGTGGTGGTGGAAGACTTGATGTGGCCCAGCCTCACCCAGACTCTACTTCCAGCGCGGCCCCCCGGGGAAGTTGAGTTTGAGACCCCTGGTCTACATGAAGAGGTCCTGCCCATGGAATCTCCAGTCTATCCCCAACATTTTGTTAAGTTCTTATGAAAAATAAAAACAAAACAAAAAAAATCTCACCCACACATCCTTTGTAATATCCTTTGTAATCCATCCCCTCAAACTTCCTGGATACATTTAAGTTCATAGCTTTCTTTTATACATCTTTCGAGGCCACCAGGGTAGACAGCAATGGAAGTGAAGAGCTTCCCTTTGAAATCAGCCCCATGGAATGAAGGAGAACTTTTCCATTATCTTTACAGTAGTTATTTTTTTATGGATTCCATGCAAAGGACACAGCAGGGAGGCCCAAATGGGTTTGGGGGGGGGTTACTGGCAAGCAGAAGGGGGCACGGTGCAGATTCTATGGGAGAACCAAAGTAAATCAAAGGAGGATCATTTCCTGCAGAAACTCAGGGATACTTCGCTGCGGACCAAACTGCCATTCAGTCTGCGGCTGGGGCTGCTTGGCATGCGGCCTTTGTGATGTGCACTTGGAACCTTGATGTGTCAATATCACCTCTTGCTGTTTGGTCACATGCCAGCTTGGTGGCGCAGCCCTTTTGAGCCGCATTGATCACGAGAGATCCTGTATGTGGAAAATCAGATGGCGTAGTCAAAAGCAAGCATGGATCTCAGCAACAACGGTGCTCCATACAACCTTCCCAACATTCACCATCCCTCTTTCAACAAACCGACACCTCCAGACTAGTCAACTGGGTGTTGTGCTGGACTAATGTATAAAATGTCACATACAGGCGGATCATCTATCTCAGAAATGGAGAATCTGTCACCCTCCACAAGAAATGGGACTCCAGCTCTCATCAGACCCAACCGATATGGCTGATAGCCTGGGATGATAAAAACTGTAGCCAAGCGATGCCTGGAGGGCAACAGGTTCTCCCCACTGATCAAAGTAATATTCCTGTACAAATGATTCCATGAATATATCCCATTAGGAATTTTATAGCCTGCTGGTTGGTCCCTCTATGGAGTCTTCATCACATGGTCAGAGGATGCATGAGCAACATCTTTCAGTTCATTTTTTCTTTAATCAGGATTTTCCAGTTTACACCTTCTGGACTGGACACAGGCTCAGCCCCAACCTGCAGTCAAATGTACACAGGAAATACAATTTTTCTGCTCCAAGAATCATTCTCTCCTGAGCCCCAAAGAATGGCTTGGCGCCATCTTTGACCCTTCCATGCTATTCCCTGCCAACAAGCCTTGGTTCTTCCCCAAGCATGCCTGCAACCCTAACCTCACATCTATGGGAAGTCTCTGATCAATATGACAATCTGATAAAGCTGGTATTTGCACTCCTTATGGTTGTTTCTAATCACTCATGTAATCGCAAATAAACAATAAATTAGCTGGTCTGAGAGCAAGTGGCCTCCCTTTGGACATTCTCCGTATCATGTTGACCTTCTGGAGAAAAGATATTACTGCAGTCTAGAAAAAGTTCTCTATGTCACCACTGCCTGAGCAGGGATGTTAACATTCTTCCCTTAACACCAGCCTCACATCTTCCACATACAGTCCAGCAGGAGGCATCAGCATCTTTTATCCAATGGATATTATACTGATGGGGTGTGAAGGGGACCAGTGGAATGGAGTGAAGACTGGAGCATCATTGGAGGACAGGTGGAGCGAAAAGGAGGCCTAGCGCTGGAAGATCTGTGGGGAATGGCAGATTGTGGTGCCATGAGTTAAATGCTTCCATAGGATCATGGTTCCGTCATTCACTTCCTGTCCTTTGTTTTAGGTAGGCTTGAAAGAAACATGTCCTTGACTCTTCCTCCCACCCTGGGGGAGCTGAAGCGCAAAGCCATGTTGTGAGGTCATACTTACCATGAGTGATCGTCATAGCCAGGTCAAGACAGTGTTCTTCTGGTCCAACACACTTGACGATCTTCTTAGGATTGCAGGTGTTGGGTGACACAGCATAGCAAGCTGGGCATCGCTTCCCATTGGGTTCAACAAAAGCCGGAGGCACTGGAACCAGTGAGAACATCCCAGTAAAGGAAGGGGGAGTTTGTTGTGGCAGGTAAAGATCATATAAACTTGATTAGGACAGAGGACCAGTCAGCATAAATCTTACGATCAAATGGAATTTGCATTTCATAATTGGGAGTGGACTGTGCATCCCCAGATGGGAACATAAGAGCCATGATCACCTGGACCGAGAGTACAACAGCGTTCTGTTCACACCGTGCCCAACCAGTTACCTGTGGGGTATCCACCAGTAAAACACAAGTGCGATAGCCACCTCCCAGTCAGGCTCCCAAGCAACTGGTAGACACGGGTGCACTGCTTTTGGTACTGGCGGTGGCACCTGGCCACCGGGGCTTGTTCTCTTGATGCCATAAGATGTTTAACTTCACTGCGGACAATCGATCACTCATTCACGTTTCTGTTCTGCCCAATCGCTGCACATTTCTGGCCAGTTTGCAAACGCTATGCTTGTTGATTTCATTTCTGTACTGATCAAAGAAAACATCATCATCTCAGTGAGTGATGCTATGGCCCCTCAACAGCGCTTTGGGTGGCCTAGGATGCCGTGCATCTCTCCTCCATTCCCAAAGACAGAACGGATGATTAGGGCAAGATCTGATTTGAGATCTTCATGCCATAATTCCTCTTCCCCCACAGCTGCTTCAGAAAGTCTCCCTTGCATATTTGCAACTGTGATCTCATTAAAAAGAGAGGGAGAAAAGAGCCAGTGTGGTGCAGTGGTTAAGGGCATGGGACTGGGACTCGGGCGATCCGGGTTCTAGTCCCCGCCCAGCCATGGAGCCAACTGGGTGACTGTGGGCCAGTCACAGACTCTCAGCCCAACCTACCTCACAGGGTTGCTGTTGTGGGGATAAGATGGAGGAGGAGAATGATGTAAGCTGCCTTGAGCCCTTTGTAGGAAGAAGGCAGGATATAAATCAAAAAAATGAATAAAATAAATAAAAGGATGCACTGCTGGGTAGGGAGAGGATGAACAGGGTGTGGAGTGGCCAGATAGTCTTAAGACCTCTCCTGTCTTCTCCCCACCTGCTGCAGATAATCCAAATACAAAGGTTTTGTATTTGAATCAGAGTAAAAAGCACCTCCATCCTGCCCTGCGTGACTCCTGCTGGCAGGGCATAGCCCTGGGGACGCCTGAGAACATTCAGTTCTTTTTTGGAATGGGAATTTCCCAGTTTACACCTGCGGGACTGAACATGAGTCCAGTTGCAAACTGAAGTCAAAGTCTACACACTTCCACACTGGCTGTGTGAGTCCACGAGTACCTTAAGTTAGGAATCTCCCATCATGTTTGTGGACCCATCTGTGAATCCTTCACCACAAACTAAGGTAGAAAGACGGATAGTGCTCTTTCTCCAGCGACTTATTTCACCCAAACTCTCAAGGAATGTTGTAGATTCATCCTTTCCATGACAGTCGCTCCCACTACCCATTGCATCCTTCCAGGTCCTCCTCCGAGCATGCCTGATCCACCAAACTAAAATCGTTTGCACAGGATTGCTCCCATCAATGCAACAAAGTGATATTTTGACAGAGCTGGTAGTTGCTGTCGTTGCCGCTGTTTCTAATTGCTACCCAAATAGCAAATAACAAATTAGCAGTTCTTGGGGGAGCTGAGCTCTCTGTGGTTATTTTCCCGATCACATGGACCATCAGCACCTTTCTGGAGAGGAGAAACTGCTGCATTCTCTAAGGCATCCTAACTACATCCACTCTTTGAGGATGCTCTTCCCACGTATTTTTTTCTTCATGGATTAAACGCACGGATCAGAACACCAATGCCCACAAGATTTACATGGCTCCAGACACAGTGATGCCATCCTCAGATCAAAATAATTCCATCCGTAGAATGTGGAGGAGAAATAAAACTTACACAGAGGATCTGTAGTTCGGCAGGCATCTCCCACACAACAAGCGGTGATGGATCGTATTTCTCTTCCCTCCCCCAAATGCACATACTGTGGTCCTTGATCACAGATGTCGGATGATGCACATCCTTTATAGACTGTGAGAACGGGGTACCCAGCTGCAGGAGAAAGAGTAAAAAGTGGGGTGCGTCAGCTTACAGTGTACCATTTGCCTTCCCTGATCAGTGTTCTTTGCAGGTCGGTACCCGAGGTAGAAAATCTATAGGCCCCTTTCGCAACTTGAGTCGCATGAATTTCTCCCTGGATTTTGGCATTCCAAATGACCTGGTCTTGTTCCCAAAGTGAAAAGGAGGAGTTCTGTATGGGACTCCTCAGACGGAGGTTTAGAAACTAATTTATTCAGACTGCAGTGCTTGGTGTTTGAAGTTAGCCTCAGAAAGCACGTGGCACCATTTTGTGTGAGCTCCAAGGGTTGCTCATTTGTTGCTAGGCTAATTCCAACATACTTGTGTTTATTTCTAAATCCTTGAGCCCAGAAATTTTGAGAAAGCACCTTGTTTTGTAAGCTGAACACACACACACACACACACACACACACACACACTTTCAGATGCATTGCTGAGCATCTTTTGAAGGTCTTCCTTGGGACATGGGTGGTGTCCAGACCCAACCCAAATGGCTTCTGACTAGAAAATAATATACTCCTGGGCTTTTTTCAAAAACAGGAATGGAATTAACAGGTTCATAAATGTTGGAGAACAAGGAATAAGAAAATAACTTATTAACAACCACCTACATAACTATTATACTGCACCTCTGTACATCTTCTTTCCAAGCCTCTTTACAACTACCCACTCACAGAGATGCAGATACTTGGCATAGTCACTTATTGTAAATAAACACCCATACCTTGACTCTTGGCTCTGCAGGAAGTTCCCATCTCAAAGGTCTTGCTCTCTCCTGAGCAAAGGAACCTGAGTTTTCTATGCATTCATGCCAAATTTTGACTTCCAAGATCTTCTAGCAAACCTTGCTTTAATGTCCTAAAGATTTCATTTATACAGATTGGGATCTGCAGTTTCTTCCCAGTGATTTCGGAAAGTTCCTCAGCTTTCTCCCAGCTCTTACATAGCTTTCTTCAAAGAGATGTTTCTTCTACTTTTCCACTCACTCTTCAACTGCCTGCCCTACCTGCTATCTGTTCCCTCCCCTCTATTATCACTTATCTCCCTGGAAATCATTCATCCTACTTTTAATTGCATCCCATCCCAAGTGGCCAGAACCCTGATAAAATTCACAATAGGTCCCACTGTCTATTCAGCTGCCTCCTGCCACACAGCGAGGGTCAGTAGTACAGCCCAGTTACTACTTAAAACACCAGTGGGGGCCTTTTTTCTGCCTATCTGCTGCAAGGTCCTCCTACTGAGAATCCAAAGGGCACCCCTGCCTACTGCCCATTGTCAGAAACAAAATTGACAGCAGTTTCCACAACTGGCCATGTGGTCTCCATTAACAATAAGTCCCAGAACTGCCATCAGAGGTGACCTGCCTCACCTTTCCTCATGGGGAAGCCACCTTAACCATCCCCATTCGTGGTCCATCCTGCCCACCTAGTGAATTTTCAGCCCGATTGATGACACAGGTGTCCTGCCCGTCCTCACAGATCTGCCAGCTGCCGGCACAGGTGGATCCAAGGGCAGAGCAAACTTCACAGTCCAGGGAGCTGCCTGAAGAAGAAACAACAGAAAAGATCTTGCACCATTTGTGTTGGCCAGAGTTGCATCTCCTGACTTCCTGGCTGCAATGCTTCAATGTTCATTATGACAGTGTGCAAACACAAGAGTTGGCTCAGACCAAACACCCTCCTAGTGCAGCATCTTGTTTCCCAGAATAGCCAACCAGGTACTTTTGAGAAGCCCACCGAGCCTGGCATGGGGACCGTCTCTCTCTATCACGGCTGTTGTCCTGCAACTGCTGCATTGAGATTCATGGTGCATCTGATCCCGGAACTTAGGTCATCATGACAATCTTCAACACAGATTTGTCCTATTGCCCTTTAAAGCTCACTAAGTGAGTGAGAGAGCTTGGTATGCTGATCATGTGCTTCCTGAGTTATGCCTTGGGGTTATGCAATAGCCTGATTGTGTACTTACGAAGCGTGCTCATGAATGACGCACGACGTGCTTCCTTTGGCCTCTCTTGAATCTATCATCTTTCAGCTTAATTGGGTGATGCCCCAGTTGTAAGTGGTGGAAATAATGAGAATGGTGGGAAGCCATTGTATGTGCTCTCCCACACCGTGCATAGCTGAGCAGAACTGTACCGTACCCCCTCCTACTTCTGTTTTTCTTCTAAAACAAAGGGCTAAAACACTGCAATCCTCCCTCAAAGGGAAGGTGCTCCAGGAAATGCATAACTGAGCGAGTTCGGCACCTGCACTGCCCAGTGGATATTCCATTTTCCATACAGCAACCCAAAGGCTAGACGTGGTCCCTTCCATAAGCAAACCTGCAACATTCTTAGTTGCCAGAATGGTATTATTGGGAATTGCCTTTCCTCAGCTTCATTTGCTTGCTTTTCGATAGTCAATCCCAGGGCTCTAACAGCCTCCTTTCTCCAGCCTAGGGATGTGCATTTAAAACCAGAACTGGACCCATTGTCCAGATATGAATATCAACACACGTACATTGTGTGGGCAAATGGTATGCATTTCCAAACTGTGATGCTCATCTCAAGGAGGATGGGGAACAAAGAAGCCGCTTTTCATGTTTTGATCAATGGGGGAAATACATACCAGGGGCAAGAACTCGTACGCATTTTCCCCCGGTGGAAGTGAAACAGACCGATTTTCAAAGTGGAACCAGAAGACAAGATTCTATGTAAAAGTAAAACCTGAGCTTGGAGAACTTTGACAAGCTCTCCCTCAAAGCTTGCTCCAATTCACGTGCAACTTTTTTTCCTTTTCTGAAGAATATTTGTACATACATTTTTTAATGGCCCTGTCAGTTATGTACATTTTTGAAATGCGCACATTCTTGATTGAAGTGTCTTTGCTGTCAGAGGCATGCTCATTTTTGGTCTGCAAGACATCATCCTACCTCAAAAATGGACAGATCCCAACCAAAACCAAACTGAAATGAAATTCTAGTATATCTGTACCGGGAGACCCTCTACAAGACTGACCCTCACTGATCCGTCTGTCTATGCACCAATCCTAAAACATGGGAACACTCATAGTTCTAGACTGGGAATTCTTGTAGATAATGAACAACACTTTGTGTGAACTGAAAGCACTGTGCAAGCCATCATTCTCTAACTTATTCCAGTACAACTAGAAATCACCGTGTTATGTCGGAGATAGGAATACAAGCCCCTTTTTACCTGTAGTTATGAGAAGGAGGCAAAGAAAGGTCACTAGGATCTGCATGACGATGAGAAATGCACAGGACGAGATTTGCAACCAAACTGTACCTGAGATGTAAATGGAGATATTTTATCAGCAACAGCTGAGGAAAAGGGAAATCCTTCTCATTAGAAAAAAATGAACCTACAAGCAATTAACCAGAAAAGAAAGGACTCCTTCAAAATTATTCAGTTTAAAGGAAAGGAAACAGCAGGCACTACAAATCCCCCTTTTTGTTGTTTGTTTCAGAGTGGCAATGGAACGTTGCTTTGTTTGTCCAAATTTCACCAGCTGTAATTCGGAGTTAAAAGGACGCATTTGTGGTTTCCTGATCATTTCCTTCTAGCTTTACTTCAAGAATGGGATGTGCACGAGGCCAGGGGTGAACAGTCACTGTTCTGTTTTCTTTTCTACTGGAATCCTAAGGTCATTAGGAGCCAGATATAACACAGTGGCTCAGAGCAGAGCAGTCTTGTTGCAATTAGACAAAGCTGCCCCTGTGCATGCATTCACCGCAACTGGGTGCTCAGTACCAAAAATTACAGTGTGTGGTCTCACAAAAAGCCACTCTTGCTTTTCCCCTCAAGTTGGCTTCCATCTCCCCAGCCTATCTGTCTGTCTGTTAGATTTATATCTTGCCATTTTTCCTACATAGAACTCAAAGCCACCTACATCAATTTCCTCTTCCTTCTCTCAGTCCTATCCCCACAACAACAACCCTGTGAGGTAGGCTGGGTGAGAGTCAGTGATGGGCCCAAAGTCACCCCGTTGGCTCCATGGCTGAGTGGGACTAGAAGCCAGATCGCCTGAATCCCAGCCCAGCGCTTTTAACCACTACACCACACTGGCTCTCCAGTTTGGAAGCAGCAAAGAATCCTTTTGCTGCTGACATTCCACAATGAAGTGTTAGAAACTTTTGGTGATCCAGCGTGAATCACCCAAAGACCTTCCAGTTGACCTTGATTTGATATTCTGCCTACTCTTACTATATAAACTGAGCGGATGAAAGGGGAGCAAGATGGCGACTTACCAGAGTTCCCAGTCCCACCAAGAAGCTGTAAGATGGAGCAACTCTGGCGGAAGCTTTGGAACAAGCTGTCCCTGTTTCTCTAACACACATTCTGCTCTTTCTGCTTTCAAAAGAAGAAATATGAGCACAGGTTTTCAAAGCACACGGCCCGCCACACCCATTGCATAACTGCCCTGAATCCTGTTTGAGCCATTTTTGGAGAAGTGTGCATTCATTTCTCTTCTTGGGTGGCAGTTTTCTGGGTGTGAAGCTCTGGACTAGCATCCCAATCCCAGCTGTTTACCCAGAAGTAAGCAACTTCATCCTATGCATTTCCAGTAGAACTGAAAATACATAAATACTCTTATGAGAGCATGATAGAATTCATGCATGCATGCATTCATTATTAGATTTATATTCCACCTTTTTTGTTTTTAAAAAAGTCAAAGCAGCTCACACCATTCTGCTCTGCCTGCTCTCCATCTTCTCCCTAAAGCAATACCCCACTGAGGCAGGCTGGGATTTGTCTGTGCCTGGCTCAGAGTCCCCCGGTTGGCTTCATGGCTGAGTGGGGACTGGAGCCCAGATCACCAAACCTGTGCTCTTAACCACTGCACCAGACTTCCTGATTCATTCCTTCCCTTCCATTTCAGTACCATCCAATAGCCGAGACTCTCTAAGCAGTTTGCAACAGAAGATAAAAACAATATGTTAAAAAGCAATGAAAATGCAATACAATCTTATCAAATTAGGTGGGTGAGTACCCAGAGGAGGGCCTTCTCTGCGGTGGCGCCCCATCTGTGGAATGCACTCCCCAGAGAGGCCCGCCTGATGCCATCATTATTTGCTTTTCGGCACCAGGCCAAGACCTTTTCATTTAAATGTTATCTTAATTGATTGTTAAATTATTTATTGCTTTTATCTATCTCCGGGATGTTTCCAATTCTGTATATTTTTGTATATTGCTATTTATTTGTTGGAAGCCGCCATGAGACTTATGCAAATGGAGCGGCGTACAAGCATTCCAAATAAATAAATAAATAAATAAATAAAAGCGATGAAGACTGAACATGCAAAAGAAACGCACCTAAGATGGGCAACCTGTTCAGGCTCCTGGATATCCAGGTGTGTCCTGAACGACCTTGGTGTGACGGGCTGCAGCCTGGTGCCGGCAAGATGGCGAGCTTGGCACCGGGGGAGCCAAGGCAGGAAGTTCCCTCCACAGATGGGGGAGCACCGTGGAGAAACCCCCCTCTCACAAAAGCCCTCCCCTCGGCCACCTGCTCATTGCCCCCTGGTAGCAACAACCATGGACACTGTCATTCCCCCCCCCCATCACATTTGAGTAAAGGGAGGACTCGTTGCCCTTGCTCTGAACTGGCTTCTTGATGCAGCCAGTCATATCTGCTGCACGGGTTTTGCTCTGCCACCCACTGCAGTGGCCTCCTCTTGCCTGCAGGACGGCTTCACTTGCTGCTGGCCGTTGTGGTTTCCCGGAGAGTGCACATGCATGCGCGCACATGCACCAGGACATGTGCGTTTGTGTGCATGTTTGGCATCTGTCTGTGACTGCTGCTGTGCATTAGCAATATGCCAGTTCAAAAGAACAACAACCGTGCAAAACAGGACAAATGAGTTCCAGATGTTTCAACTGTAAACAAGAGGAAATGAAAATGAATCAGACGCAGCTTGGAGCTCCCCCTCCCGACTCGGTTCTAGTTACTTTGCATCAGGACCGTCACTTTGCACAGGCTGGAACCGCCTGTAGAGCTGCTTCCCTACCTCTGGGAAAGGAGAAAATAAAAGGAGATGTCCCACTTGCTCCTGGTGCAGGGCCTGCCGGCTCTTGCCGCCTGGGCAAGGAAGTGGCGCTGCACTGAGGGAGGTCCAGGTTGCGCTCTGACTTGCTGGTGGTTCCAGCGCTGGGCGGTGCAGAGCCTGAAAACACAGGACAGGTTCAGGTTCCTCTCCTCCCATGAGCCACTAGACTCTGGGCCTGAGTTCAGAACTGCCGGTAGAGTTGGGAGAGGCAGGAGGCTCTCCTTTTAATGTGAACTTACCTATTTTTTACTCCCAAATTGGCCGGAGGTGGGGGGGGGGGTCGTCAGAGGAATCGGTAGTGGACTCCCCTGAGTCTGGATTCCTCTGTGTCTGTCTTGTGACTTCTTCAGCAGATCAGCTTTCCTGGGGAACACAGAGTTTGTAGGGCTTTGGGGCCATATTTTATTTTATTTTATTTTATTTTTATTTATTGATTGATTGATTGAAAACTTTTCTATACCGTCCCATACTTAAAAGTCTCAGGACGGTTTACAGCAAATTAGTACCCCCCACACACACAAAAAAAAAAAGAATAACAATAACAATTGCCCTACCTCCAATGTTAAAATATAAACCCATTTTGAAATTGTTTTGCACCTTTTTGCACAAATATAGTTGCAGAAAGCTTTGCAAAGTAAACAACAACAACAACAACACCAACCCAAAATGTGCAGATTGTCCCACCAAGTAAAATAGGAAGATATGCATGAGGGGATTTGTGTATTTGGGGCAGATGTGCATCTTTCCAGGAACTTGCATTTGTGCAGATATAAACAAGCAGGCAGTGGAACAAAAAGTCCCCTGAGAACTGTCAGCAGCGAGGCAGAATCTGCAGAGACAAAGCTATGGTGGTGTCTTCTCAGGGTAACTAATCATGATGTGTAAACCAGCGCATAGAGATGGCCATGAACACAAAGGTCACCTAGTGTAACCATCTGCTGCAGCCTCTGCTTAAAAACCTCTAATTAAGGAGAGCCCATGGCATCTTGTGTCACACTGCCATCAGGAATTTGTTCCCAGTGTTGCATCCACCCTACAAACACCATTAAGTGACTTGTTATTCTTCACAGTGGAATAAGGGGTGTTCTCAACTTTGGTGACCTGCTATTATTGAAAGAAAGCCTTAAAGATAAGAGAAAGTAAACTGCTAAATTTAAATAAATACTGCGAGTTGAGGAACGTGGGAAATACACATTGAATCTGTAATGGTAAACATACTTTTGTTGACACAAATTTCCGAAACTATCTGGGTGAGGCCAGCTATGGTGGCAGAAAGTGCCTTTCCATATCCTTTTGCCAAGGCAAATAAAAATTTCCTGTTGTGCAAAACACAAGGCTCAGTTACTTAGTGTTCTACCAGAAAGACACAAAAGGTTGAAAATATAAAATAAACATCTATCAAAGAGGGAGCAGATAGACTGGAGGCAAAAGTTTCGACACCAAATGTCCCCAAAGGACTTGCAGTTCATAATCATGTACAAAAGTGACCATGTAGGAAAGTAATGGAATGTTTTCTGCTATGATGTTCTCGGTTACTAAAGATTGCAAAAAGCCGATGTATAAATTCATTGTGCGTGATGAATGGGGCAGTTGGTCCTGGCTGGAGACAGGCTCACTCACCTACAATAAAGTCGTTTTGTATAGAATTACTGGCTGGTGTTTCCTGTCTCTCTCACAGTCAGACAACAAAGGAGAGGGACTTCTTTTTGTCCCCAACAGATGTTAGCTCTGCTGCTGCAGCACTGGGGCTTTTGGCTAAGTATGGAAGTCGTCACACCCAAGAAGACGCAGGTGCCTGAATCCACCTGATCTCCTTCTTGTAAATTGGGTTCTCTGTAGAAAATAAATCAGCCGCTAATTCCAGTTAGCCTTGAGAAAGATGCTTGTACTGAGTCTGGCCCAACTGCTGTCCGTCAGGATTGGCCACACCCGGGCCCAGTCTAGGGCATCGTCTAGATTTGACATTCCAGACATACCTGGTTTGGGTAATCCCCCCTACATGCATGTGTGTGCACACTCACACTCACACAATCATATTCTCTAAGTATGTGAAAGCTAGTTGAGCCTCTGGGAGAACCTAAACATGCTGTGTTCATCCTCAATGGCACATTTTATTTCATTTTTGAATATCCACTTGATTAAGATAGCTGCATTTTTTCTATTCAGAAATTAATCAGCATCTGGAAAATGAACTGTAGTTGAAGGTATGATATTTTAATGAAAGTAAAATGGAGAACATCTTGCAAAAGGAAGCGTTCTTCCACGCTGATTCTCAGCAAGGGAGACCCTATAACAAGAACATCTTCATCATCAGAAACCCTGAGATCACCAGGAAGACGGATCCAGAAAGAAGAGCATTCCCCTTGTTACAGGAAGCATTTATGGATAGCCCACTCACCCCGGGTGTCTTAAAGGATGGATGGACGCAATCACTGGGAGATGCACAACGCTTCGAGATGATGTTCACAGTGTTCTCTCCTGTGCAGGAAAGACAAAAGTGGCAGCAAGAGACTTAAAATTCCAAGTAACTCCATTCCGAATAATTCTATCTATATCCTATGGTTGGGTGAATCAATATATTTCTAGTACATCCTGCCTGCCTGCCTGCCTTCCTGGGTTTCTACAAAAATGTGCAGATAAATAAAACTTTTTAAATGCAATTTATTTCAACGCACATATTTTATGTACCAGTGGATGCTTCTTGAGCCAGGAGCTACATGTGAACATCTGTCTCACGCAAAAGCCGGTGGACAGTCTGACTAGTTCAGGAGTTACAGGCTCGGTCTCCCACACTGGAATTCACAAAGATCGAAACCCTCCTGCCAGGGTCAGCAACTGGACTTCTTCCATCTGTTTTGGACCAGAACTACACACCCATTGTGGCATTAACTTTAATGATGGCGCACAAAATTTGGGCCGGCCCACAAGTCGTCTTGCTTCCTTCACAGCTAATGCCAGCGGCATTGCATTTTCTCACTGCAAAGCGGCACCTGGAAGGAATATGAGAAGTGTCACAGGGCATCTTATAACGGGCACGTTGCGTGTGTTACAACCCACCTGAGCGCTACCTCAACTTTTTACCAGGGTTCTATAAGCTGTATTCAGGGTCTGCCTTCTGTTCAAAAAAGGACCCCCATCACCTGCCGAATATACATCTTTGCCAAATATACTCCACTCCTCTTGAATCACAGAACACACACACCTCAGTCGGGTGGTACAGTTGAACAAGGCACATCCATTCTTATAAAGAATATGGCACATTGCTTAGACCTGCTCCGAAGTCCACACATGCTGAACCCAAACTTTCAGACTCCCATCTTTCCATATTAAGAGAGAATGTCGGAAAAACAGTTTCTACTAGACTTCCCTTCATCGTGAGTAGAATCTTGAATGTGAGTAGAAGTTTCTGTGTGATCAGGGACTAAGGGAAAGCAAAGTTTCTGGTTGGAGGCTTCGATATATGTTGTTGTAAACACGGGTCCTCCAGAAGTCTTCCTTGCAGGGAATGAGCAGGCAAAAAAGTGAAAAAGAGCCATCCTTTATGGAATTAAAGAGGGTGGCAAATAGAAGCAGGGTCTTCTTAGTGGCTGCCCCCCATTTATGAAATGGCCTTCCAAAAGTATTTTGTCTGGCATCATCTTTACAATCTTTTCAGTACCAAGTGAAAACAGTCCTCATCTCCAGACATTTTAATAACTGATTTTATACTTGGACATTATTTACACTTTTTTTACCTTTAATGTAGTTTAATTTATTGATCTCTGACCTCAGCTGTGCATTTCTCTGTTTTATTGTAGGTTGTTATTGTTATTTCATGAAATATTATTTTATTTAATATTGTAATCTGCTTGGAAAGTCTTCAAACTAGTGTAGCAGAATATAAGTTGGATAGATAGATAGATAGATAGATAGATAAATAAATAAATAAATAAATAAATAAATAAATAAATAAAAACATAGAAACAGAGCGAGTCAGAAGGGGTCTTCCGGGCCATCTAGTCTGACCTCCGGCACCAGCCGGCTCCGCTCACGACATGCCCACCATGTGCACATAAATAAAAAATAGCATTGGGAATGGGGCCAGTTCTCCTTCACATGGATGGATGGATGGATGGATGGATATGCCCTGTTCAGGCATAAGAGAATGGAACAACACGGATTCCTACTTGCTACACCCCTACCTTCAAGGAGTTCTTTATATCAAAGAATCCACTTTCAAGGCTGAAATTAGTGGCCCAATAAATCTAGCTCAGACTTCCCCAACCCAGTGACCTTCACAGGCATTTGGAGCATAACTCCCAGAATTCCCATCCAGCAGGGCCCTTGACTGAGAATTCTGGGTGTTGCGGTTCAAATATGGAAGGCACAAGGTTGGGGAAGGCTGATCGAGCTGTTTTCTTCAAACGATGCATGAGAGATCTTTGAACTGGGGCTCAGCCAGCCCTGCCCCACTCCTTGCTTTGAGGGCTGTAAACTATGAATGTTAAAAGAGGCCATGAAAGCCCCTCTTGGGTATGATGATCTTTGAACCATTCCATCTCTGCCTCTCTCTATGGAATACCTCTATTCCATTCCATCCATTTCCTCAGAGACACCAAAGTTCACCATCTCGAAGGACATATTTTCACTGTTTGGATCAGATTCTAGCAAACAGACTCCGGTAGAGCAATCCTTTCACCTGCAAGGTAATTGCCACATGCTCCTTATCTGTAGTTAGAAGCACGGAGAAGATCAGTCCCAGGAGTATCTGCATGTTGAAGGAAGGCTAATGAAAAGACTAATGAAAGACCCATATTTCTAATGAAGCAATCTCTCTTCCTGGAAGGGCTTGCAGCAAGAATCAGAGAAGAAGCCAACAGAAATTTGAACAGTGTGTTAACATAGCTGGGGAGCAGGGCGATTACACAGTTCATCAGATGGTTTGGATTTCTCAACTAGGTTTGAGTAAGAAAGTTATTTCAGCTAATTTTGACCCAGGAAAAGAAGCAGCAGCGGCGGCAGAAGCTGTTTATTGAGGTCAGTGACCAGATTGTCCATAAAAAAAACAATTTACAAAGTAAGACCAGGATTACATTTATGTACTTTTAAATTTCTGTACTGACCAATCGCTGAAGACCTGAGGGGAGCTCACAACAATGAAAGTACAATGAAAAGAGATACAACACAACAGTCTAAAATTCCAGCATACAAATTGGCAACAGTCTAAACATCTAGTATACAAAGGATTAAAACAGTTTAAACATCTAAAACAATTTCAGTAAAATCAATTCTAATTAAACCATCTGGCATAACCCATCACACCACTGCAAAAATTAAAGAATGGTGCCTTTTGAAGGATAACATGGTGATTATGGAAGTATGCAAATTTGCATGAAATGCAAGCTGATTCAATTTCATTCCCACCCATAACTACAACTCCCATCAGTCCCATCCAACATGAAGAACACAAAAGGGATTTTTAGATTTGCAGTCCAAAACATCTAGAAGGCACTGGGCTGTTCAGTCCTTCTCTAGCCAATCACACCAGTGGGGAGGGGAGGAGATCTAAAGAACACTAAAACCAAAGAGAGGGTTTTCTTTAATTTGCTTTGAGAGTGGCAAAGAAGAGAGCAAAGCCCTCTGGAAAGGTACATGAGTGACACCTGAATCCAGGTGCTTCTTTACACGAGCATCTTCATCAACAGGAACGTGGAGAGGGCCAGGAGGAGAGAGGCGGACGATGGAGAAGCTTTGCTGCATAAAACTTCTGATTCACTCTCTCCGCCAGCTATTTGAACGGGAGGAATTCTTTTCGCGCAGGCAGACTTCTCAAAGCAGCTTTTCACAACGGAGAAGCTCTTCACATCTCCTGGGAGGGAAAATGCAGGTCAGTGAGCAGAGCAGTTCCAGATAACTAGGCCCAACTCCTTTTTATTTTCCTGATTTTTAAAGTGTTAAAGTGTTTTAAGATGGGGTTTAGCTGATGTATGTGTTGCCTGTTGCTGTTATTTCATTGTATTACCATCCTTGTACTTTTAGTGAAGAACAGGATATCGTTGTAAGCCGCCCCGAGGCTTCGGGAAATGGGGCAGCATAAAAATGTTTTAATAAATAAATAAATAAATAAAATAAAAGCAGGACATAAATAAAACCAGTAGCTGGACAAATTCATCCTTCCATCTCTCCCATTTATTTCTCAGGCTTCCGTCAGCATGCACAAGCTGGTTATCAACATCAGCATGGCAAAAACGGAATTACTGTGTTATCTATAAACAAAGCCGGAGATGAGCAGCTTGGCTGCTTTTACGGGTTGTGAGGAATAGTGCACAAGTGTTTCTACGGAGGGAGGGCTTGTGCAGGGGAAATTGTGTTGCTCAGCACGCAACATCATGCACAAATATGGATTTAGGCCAAGCTCCAACCAGCAGGGGATCCCCATATAGCCTGTGAAGACCCCTCCGTGTGTCCAACCAAGGCTCTAACCCTTGACACTTTCTCTACCCACTGTACTTTTCTCCATGCAGAGGGGGCACAGTGGTCCGTGGAAGCTAAGCCCCTTCCCATGGTGTGCTGTTCATTGTCACAAATGGGAGCGCCCCAGCTGTCCCCCAAGAACCCGCCAGGTCCCTCACCCTCCACCTGCCATCATGAGTGTGGCAGCTAGTAAAACATGAGTGAGCTGACCCAGCTTAACCGATACATGGCAGAAATTTTCCTCCAAGTGCTGGCTAAGTCCTTTGGTCCATGTGAAGAGAGCATGGAACAGAGAGTGAGAAACATGCCTCGAGTGCCAGAGATTCGAGCGTTAATCCCTGAAGTTTTCATTTAAAGAGGCCTCAACTAAACATTCCAGCTAGCAGATGTGAAGCGGTGAGCGCTGTATCTCTTTACCTCTCTGCAAGTGTGTCCAGCCACAGGTGGGATCTGGCACAGCCTAAGCTTTCCCCACAACACCCTTTGTTGTCTTACAAAATCCTGCATGTATCTAAATCACAGGAAAATTAGAAAGAGGCAGAGGAAGGCTCCACCAGAGACCACAAGCTTCTTAATTTTAACCCTCCATGGGGAAGGGGAATTCTGAAAAAATAGGTGGAGTGGAAATGTTTTACCCAACCCTAAAAAAGCACCATTATCCTGATCTGAGTCAGGCCTTTGTGTGCTTACACAGAGGTAAAGAGGCGTACATGCCCATGCAGCTTCACAATGAGCACTGGAGAAATGGCTGTATTTGTCCCGTAGGTGATGGCTGTTGAAGACAACTTTGTGAGGCCTTAGGGGCAGGCTGCTAGAGCATGGAGGATCCACGCTTTGACCTGGAATAATGTTTCGGGCATCCACTTGCCTTGTGCAGTAGCACATTAGGATATCTGAAGTGTAAGCCCAGAACTTTAGGAGAAGAGCCCAGAACTTTATTGGTCAACAAGCCAGCTCTAGCCTAGCCTATAAAAACCAGCCTTTTTGTAAAGCTGTTCTAAAAATGTGTACCTTTCCTATCGACCTAAAATAGCACTCAAGAAAGAGCATTTGCCCGTTCAAAGACTGCAACATTCTTGGTATTACAAGAAGGGACCAAATGTTAATTGAGGGACTTTTTCCCCATCCCCACCACCCTCCCAGCTAGTATCAGATTAGCAGCTAAGTTCAGCAGGACTAACAAGTCCAAAAGGAGTGGAAGATCACGCCACTGTCTCTGCTGGTACTTCATCCCTGAAAATGCAGATTCCACAACATCCCCGAATTTGTGTGCATCCGGCGCCCGTTCCCTGGCTGGGCCTGGCTTAGAAGTTCCCACACTAACCTACTCTCGTTTTTGTTAAAATGGTGGCACAGGTATCATACTGGGAACCACAATCCTGATTTGTGCCACTGCAGGTCTTGCCATTGCCAACGCAAACTTCGCACTGTATCGAACCCCCTGGAAGAGAAAAGAGAAAGAATTAAACAGGATGTCTCTAGGATAGGCCAGTTTTGAAGATACCTACTAAAGTTCAAGTGAGTGCTCATGGGAAGCCTATTTAAACTTGGTTTTAACTGCAGTTTAGCAGGATCCAACTCCTGAACATGCCTTCAACTAGACGTGGGACAGAACTGTCCGTCCTGGTCCCACAAAGAGAGGTGGGTTGCTGAGTTCAAGAACATTCCATTCAACTTGCAAATGGGTCTGCGTGTATATTTGCGTGCGAAAACTTGTGTGCAAATCCACATACTTTGATCATGCATTTGTTTTACACGTGCACCCACTGGCTAAAGAAGGAACAGGGTGACTCAGCTCCGGGGCCACATATGGCACTCCGGAGGAGACAAATCTAGCCTTCTAGTATTCACAGGATGGGTCACACAACCTTCTCCAGATACCGATCATTTGATAATATCCCAGCTTGTGTACACATTCCCAATCATGCACACATGGTGTACATGATGGAAACACCTGGCCAAGGTTTTTAGGGCTAGACAACAACAAATGCTTTGTCAGTATTGGCTCGCCACCCCATTTGCCTTTGGTCCCGTCTCTTCTGTCTTCAGCCTTGCCTTTCCCGGAAACGAGGCCCTGGGAACTCTTCTGAAACTCATTTCTGCCCTCAGGCTGAAAGAAGCTCCTCACTCCTGTAGTAAAGTGATTTTGGGCCCGATGTTTGAAATGATGGTCTTCTCTGAGCATTTTTCCATATACATGCATTTTGGTTCGACACATTTGCTCACTCACTCCAAGTTCAGACATGCTTTCTGGCCACAAAGTGTTTTCAGATTTGCATCAGGTCTGGGAATTGTACACGGGGTAAATTCATTTAAAAAGATTTAGCAGAGTGCATTTCTCTCACATTTCTGCTTTTAAGCCACAAGCCTGAGTTTAGTATATGACTGGAACAAATGTAAGAGGAGGTCTTGCTTTCTTTAGATGAATTGAGATGATCTTTGACTTCCTCCAGTTGCATACCTGAGCATTCACGAAACTAACCTTGGCCCACTTTGTGGAGTCATACTGGCAATCTGCAGTCATGTTAGTCAAGTCACACCAAGTGAAGCCAGCTTGCATATGGTTAGAGCTTCTTGCCCTCCTTGGAAAAACCCACTCCGGGTACCAATTACCAGCTGCACCTTACCTGTTGTTAGAAGCACCAAGAAGAGAAAACATCCCAGGAGAACCTTCATGGTGATAGGAAGATTGTATGAGCACTAAGCTCTCCTTCCAACAAAGCAATTATGTGACCAGAAGAATCTGCAAATAGATATTCAGAATAAGCGTACCTCTTATTGAAATGCCTTATTGAAGAACTTCCAGCTTTCCTGTTTTATTGTATTTCCAAATTTCATATTGGCCAGGGGAATCTGTTCTGGCTTCTCACCAATTCAAAAAAAAACCTCATGTTCTTTTTGAGGAACTTTTGAGAACTTTGTGAATTTTGCTCAATTCTCATCTAAACCAAACCGGCATTCAGCTCCCACTTGTTCCTAGCTGGAATTGCCTGATTTGTTCTAATGGCAGTCAACTCTCTTGACCCTGACACTGGTCCTTCTTTAACTGTGTAGGTTCTGTTCCAAGAACTTGGTCTACAAGAGATACAATTATCCTAGCAATGTCCTATCCCAAAAAACAATAAGCAAAAATGGAAGGAGGAATGACCATCTAACCCATGGATAATCTGCTTGTCTGCATCGATATATTCACAAAATTAGCACCTAACTGTCTGCAGTTGGGGATACTTTATCCCCACACAAAAGAGTGCAAACTGCTGTCCAAGGCACAGTAAAGAAACTGCAAAAACCAACACACACACACACAGAGGAAACACTCCTCACAAATCATTCTTGTCCGAGAAAGTAGGATTTGGCATTTGCATTAGGAAAGAAACAGGGAGTCGTGTTCCTTACCGGGACTTCAAATGGCTTGCCGATGTGCCCGAACATGAGAGAAACTGAACTTCATGCATGGCTCACTCAGCTGCCTCCCTTTTAAAGGAGGGAGGAGGCTCCTATTGCAGCATATTAAAACATTTTAGGACATGCACGATGCTGAGCAGCTGAGGAACAGCAGCCTGATGCCCAAGCAGTTCCTCCAAGGAAATAAGCAGCTTGTTGGGAGCGGCAAGGGCAGTGACCTTGTGAAACACACTGCACTGGGATCGGGGAGGATGGGCTGGGGGAAGATCCTGAAATGAGGGAGGTGCACGTGGTTCCATAGTGTCGTGGTTATCACACCTGCTTTACACGCAGAAGGTCCTGGGTGACATGCACATGGTGGGCATGTCATGGGTGGAGCCGGCTGGAGGCGGGGGTCAGACTAGGTGGCCCAGGAGACCCCTTCTGACTCGCTCTGTTCCTATGCTTTTATGATTAGATGTTTTGCCAAGCCGGGCAGTTTCTGGGAATGACCAAGATATACAATCCGTGGAAGGGATGTCTGAGGATGAGGAATTATCAGATGCAGAGTAGCCCCCACCCTGCTCTTGACCCCATGGGGAGATGTCAGCAGAGGCAGGAGGTCCAACTGAATGAGCAGCGCACAGAGAGGAGGAGTGCTTGCCTTCAGAAAGCCCCTCCTGAGGGGGTGGGGCCCAGGCATGCCCATAAGGAGAGTTCTGGAAGTAAACACCAGATTGCCACTCTGTGCATGCTCAGAGATCCATTCTGGGTGATTTGTACATGAGAGCAATACGGAATGTTTGCCCAGAAGAGGCCCTGTGACTTGCGATTGCACATATGCACCCACAGCACAGACGGATGTGGGAGGATGTTACAGAGTTTGAGAGCTACCCAGAAGGCAAAAGCGCAATGGGGAAAACTTGCAATGCTGGGCATGGAGAGCATAAATAGAGAAAGTAGCAAGTTGGATAGTGAGAAACAGAGAGGTGCAGGAAGAATTTTTCTGTTGGGAAAATTCTGATCAGGAAAAATGGCATGTTTCCAATTGGAAAATTATGACTTTTTAAATGCACATTTTTCCAAAATAAAAATGTGCGCTTTTCCCCACATGCTATTTTATGTATTTATATCTCACTTTTGTCCTTCCAAGGAACTTGAGGCAACTTACATAATTCTCCTCCTCCTCTCAATCTTATCTTCATGACAACAATCTGCAAGGTAGGCTGGGCTGAGAGTCAGAAACTGGCCCCAAGTCAACCAGTGAGCGGGGACCAGAGCTCAGATTGTCTGACTCCCAGACCACGCCCTTAACCACCACACCACACCAGCTCTCAAAGCATGAACATGCCAATTTGGCAAGTATTCGCATGTATGCCCACAGGCACAAGTACACAGCTTTGGACTCAAATTCAAATTCAAGAATTGCTAAGATTTCCCGCTATACGTTTGTTATCTCAAAAGGGACATATCTGAACGATCAGCAAACTATGTTCTCATCCATCACAGCTCCCACCTCTTTTTCTTAGCAGCCCTCCAGAGTCCTTTTCCCACTTACATTCCGGGCTTTCTTTTGTGGTGCTGCTGTCAGGGTTACACAACAGAACTTGTTGTTCCCCTTCTCCTGCAGCTCATGCCATACCCCAGATAATCACAAATCATACTTCACATGTCTTTCCAGGAAGGATCCCTGTCCTATCTTGTACAAAATTTACATCTCTCTAGACACAGCCATATGTTCAAGAAATGCAAACATCTGTTTCATCCTATTAGTACGGAAACTGCTGGATGTCCAGGTCCTTCGACCTCTGCCCCTGTATGTCCACCTTCCACTCCACCCACCACCCTGTATTTTTGAATTTCCCATGGCTCTGGTGCCAACTGAGCAGGAAAAGGGTCTTTTAACTGTATTTCACTGACTGTAGCTCCTCCTCCTCCTGCAGTTTTCTGGGTTTCTTTCCAGGGTCATGTCTGTGACACATGCCATCTTCAGAACAATGTCCTAGAAAAAAGTTAGGGCGATTAGTGTGTCTCCAGTGGCAAACCCCGAAATTGGAAACACCGTTCTTGCACTACGGAATGGGCTCCCCAGACTTTATATTGTTTTCGGTGCCGGGTGAAAACCTTTTTATTTGCCCATGATTTTAAGTGCTAAGACTTTTAATCTGGTTTTAACTATTTGCAGTTGCTTTTTAAGTTTGCTCCTGTTTTTGATTTTGTCTTGATCTTGTTTTCATTTGTGATATATTATTGCCAGCTTTATGTATATTTTAATTACAGTGGTACCTCGGCTCACGAACGCCTCAGTCCATGACCAAATCAGGTCGCGAACAGAAATTTCATAACAATTTTTGCCACAGGTCACAAAGTCTGCATCGGGTGATGATCGCAAGCACACCCGCCTTCCCTGCATGGGCACGATCTCGGTCGCGATTTTGCCCGTGCCCGCTTCCCCCAGCGTGCCCGCGATCGCGCCTGTCTCCCCCCACACCCCCCTGCACGATCGCCATCATTGACCAAAGCAGCCTCGTTTCACCCAGCTTACCCCCGAATCTAAAAGAGAGGGGCCGTAGCTGCACTGGGCCCCTAGGCTAAAATACTTCACAAATCGAAACATAAGGAACTGCAGAAAAACTGTAGCATCTGTTTTTATCAAAGCCCCCACCCAAAAAAATCTGCGCAGCAGGCAGTGCTTCCAGAGGTTCCACTCACTCTTCCAAAGATGCTGTGAAGTTTCCCATCCTTAACTTATCAGCTTATTTATATGCTTAGGAAGGCCTCGGTAATTCTAAATATATGCAAATGAATAAATAATTTGACTGCCCTTAAGATTTCAAATGTGCAGCGCGAGAACAGTGGGCTCCCACACTTTCCACCACAGGGGCCGGGTGATGAGAAGGAATCCCCTCCCAGCAGACAGAGGAACTGTGAAGCGGCAGTGAAGGAGGCTGCATCATGATGGGAAAATGCAGCACAAGATCTTGTCCAAAATTCCCAAAAGAAGATGGAAATGTATCACCATTGTCTAAAAGCCTTACTGGGACAGCCACGCATCTCAGGTGTCTAGGAAGATGCAAAATAAGCCGGGAAATGATGGAAGAGACCTGTTAAGGCTCATGTGCTTCTGAGAAAGAGTGAGTCATTAATGCATCAAAGGTAAGCAGCAGCTTGCTTTCCAGCGGCACCTCCTTGGGTGAATTTGTGCGGCCCATCCAGGCAGGAGGCGTTTTCGTTCGATAGATGCTCACAGGAGTCTCCTGTGAAGTTGAGGAGGGCTGCTTTTGCATGGGTGAACAAACAGAATGCTTGATTTCTCAGAGGGGATCTGAGATGAGCGTTACAGGAATCCGCTTCCTGCCCCAGGCATGTTCACACCTGCTCTCCTTGCAGACACAGGCAGGCCTCCAATAAGCTGCTTTTGCAGAAAGGCAGTGAGCAAGATGCGAGATCGGGCACTCCCCACCCGCTGACACAGGAAGCCCGTGGCCAGAGCAGGCTGGCGTGGCTAGGCAGGTGGCAGGGCACTGCTACGTCTGCCAAGCCCGGGCCCCACTATCACCAGCAGCACATTTGAGCTATTCTGGGTGGCTGGATCTAGCCCCCCCCCCATAATTTCCCACAGTTCCCTTGACCAAGCTGACACATTGGCATTCTGGGAAGTTTAAAGGGTAGGTAGCACCAGCTCTCCCCCACACCCAGGTTAGGGAGCTGTGAAGAAAAAGCTGCTCAAGGAAGGGTTTTTCAAAATCGCCCTCTTTTCAATGGAATTTCAGCCCTATATTAGGGTTAGGGGTGTGCACCAGGGTGGGGGTCGATTACGAAAACGAGGTGTCCTGTTAAGATGTTGCTGGTTGGGATGTGTTTAGAATGGGCAAGAGTGATGAGCTGTGCAGAAAAGGCTACTCAAAGGAAGGCTTTTTCAAACTTGCCCTATGAGAAAGAGGAGGAGGAGCAAGCCCAGCTGGTGCCCATGAGCACGAGAAGGCAGAACCACTGTGGAAGGGTGTCTTCAGGGGTCTTTCCGAGGGGCCCTCAAAAACCCAGAGCTGGCACAGAAATTACCAGACTGAGCAGCAATGGCAGGGGCGGGAAAAGGAAAAGCGGGCTGCTACAGCACTGGCCATTTCAACATGGCCCTTGGTCAGCTGGCTGGCTGGCTGCTGGGTTGGGTGGTCCACCCTCGGGGCCATGCCCAAACTGGACTAGCTGCTTTGCCTAGATGGCCGGGAGTAGCAGCGTCCAGATTGAGGGGAGGACTGTGAGAGGTTGAGACAACTGTGTGCATGGAGAACGTCTGCCTGAGAGTATCTGGGAGCAGGAACACTGGCCCTAGGAATGGTTATTGCGGCTGTTTCTGGGTGGTCAAATAGTGCAGGTTTAAGTCCTGGAAACCCCCTCTCTTTGGCCCATTATATATTTTCTCCCCCAATGTGTTTGTGAGGGGAGGGGTGATATATTGTCCTCTCCGATATCTTTATTGAAAGAAAAGAACTTACACAAAACTTTTTGAGGGGGCTGGTAAAGTTTATATTCTAAAGCAAAGCCAGCATATTCATTCCTCAAGTAATAGGACACAACTTTCTCAGTTCATTGATACACATATAGCCAGCCTCTGTTGACTGATTTTCTCCCTCTCCCTCTTCCTGTGTGAATGACCATCCATAGCATTAAGCTATCTTCATATGCCTTTCAAATCTCTTTCCTTATGGGATATGTCTGGCATCAGGAAAGGAAGCATCCCAGCAAAAGATAAGACTTTACCCAAATTTACAAAATGTTTCATATTTAAGATGGAAAGAACTTGAGATTAAAACAAAGGGAAAATGAATGTAGGAACAACTGAAATGACCAAATCAACCAGCCAGGGCTGTGAGTGCTTAGCTCCTAAAACTCTGGTTTGGAATCTCTGGATACCACATTTATAGTACTAAATTAGGTTTTCCACCTGCCTCTCTTCTCCTGAGGAGCTCTTCCCATTCAGCTGTTCTATGGCAGAAGGGCACCCCATGGTCGTCTCTGTGCTGCTTTAGATGCATTTTTCCATTTCGGCTGCTGCAGACAAGTGGGAATTTCATTTCAGTTGATTATTTTCTGAAATTTTGCAAATTCTTGATATCTGGGATGGAAAGAACTTGAGATTCAAGCAGTTTGGAT